CAACTCATCGTTGCTATACTGATAATTGTGTTATTTTCCATTTTACTGCGTGCGATAAAGCTTTGTAATATAATAATTTTATGGCATTAGTAAAGAATTGGGAACAATGTAGTAAATTGAGTTTTTCTGTCGGTAGTGATTGTCAGGAAACTGTAAGTAAACTTTACGTTTTATACCTTATATTTTAGACCATAAATAATTCTGTAAAATTCTCCATTAAGGAAACTTCTTTCGCAAAGGATAATTTATTTCCAATTTTATTTACTTATAATTAATTCTAAGTCTTTATAAAGCATTTTTCTACGAACTGCTATTTGTTTCGCTTTCTGATCAAATCCTGGAGTTGTATTGTTGAGATTATATACTTTCAAGGTCATTCAAATATGTTTAATTCATTGAATAATCTATGAATCATTCCTTCGTCTTTTTTTATTTAACTGTAAGATAAATAGGCTAAGGGTGGATCCTCTAAGTTCAACTTTATTTTAAATCTGGTGCTGATTTTCTGTGTTATGCCGTTGTTTTGTATTAGGTAACCTTAAATGCCGGTAAGGGGAATTATCTATTCTCTATATCAAATGTTGCTTATTTTAAGACTGATTTATTTTATACTATATCCTGTGACTACTTCTTCTCTGCAATTAAAATCTGGCAACAGAAAAGTATAAACAATATCAGAAAGTGATTTAGGGCACTCATCTTGAGTTTGTGGAAATTTGAAAGCCCTTCCAAAGTGTTTTTCAGATCATATTCCATTAAGAAATACGATTGGTGCATCATTTGTATTTGTTATTTTTCTTACAAAATTGTAGCTAATTTCTTATCGGAAAAGTTTACTGAAACCAATCATTAACTTTAAGATTATTTTTATCTTCGATAGCAGTTTATGTATATATATATATATACTATATATATATATATATATATATATATATATATTATTATATATATATATATATATACTAATTCATCATTTTCTTATTCGCAATCTAAGAGAGATACAATAACTTTAATATTCATATAAATATAAATTTCATATAAATTTACCAAAAACTTTGGATTCTGGAGTACATTTTATTGCCTTAGTTTCTTTTTATTCTTTTCTCTGTCTGTTTGCTTTTTAATTTCGTTTTCTTTTATAAGTTGCCTCTCTGCTTGGTTAATGTTAGACTAAAATTTTTTATTTTCTTCTTTGAATTAATATTGTAACTTCTGACCATTTTTGATAACAACTAAAAAAATACAGTCTCTTTCATGTGAAGAAAGAATTAGTTATCATTGGACCGACTATATCTTATGTGTAAGTTTGTTGATTGGTATTATACTGAATTGTTTCGTAAAGGTTGCACCATCGTTCAGCCTCGAATTGCGTCAACAGTCGGACGTAGATCTCCTTAAAAGGTTTCCATGTATTATCTTTTGCTGTTGTAACTCAATTCGTCTAAATTCTCTTGATTTCATTTAACCAGCATGTGGGAGGTCTGCCTTGGCTATGTTTGTCACTCATTGGCCTCCATTCCAGAATCTTCTTTTTCCATCTCCCATTTCGCAATAAACTTATTCTGCCTATCTCCATTTAAACCTTGTAATAGGTTCGATCATCATCCCTCTTTGACTTTCTTCGTATCTCTTCGTTTCTAACCCTGTCTTTAAGATTTAGGCCAAGCATTGAGTTTACATTTGTCTTGATTATTTTTTTGGAAAGGGTACGAGTTTCATCTTCGTGTGTAAGGTTGAGCAAGACACACTGGTTGAGCGCCCTTCTTTTCATGTTGATAGGCTAACTTAAAAATGTATCTTAATTAGCCATATATTCTTCTTTTTAGTAATTGTTTATATTTATTTTAAGGCTTTTGTATTTGATTATAGTTTTAAATAGTCTTACAATTGCTTTATGACCTGCAATTTAACAGTCTAAAAGGTGATAGCCAAGCCACCTATACACGTATCATGTCTATCAAATCTTATGTAGAGTATGGACAAAAGTACCAAATTTAAGATATTCAAAAAACACTTCGAAATTTGACATTTAACATTGTAATCAACGCCTGTTAAATTCATTCTGCAGTTGGGTGTGTTCGACATTTTTCTTCATTAAGTAAGATAAGAACTGCTTCTTTGATTTTTCTCTTTTTAATGTGTACTTCATGATTATTGATGCGTCTTTCCATTGTAACAAATGCTCCCAGGCATGTGTGCATATCTAAGATTTGTCGAAGTCTCTCTTCTTGATGTAGTTTCATGCTCGTTTATTCTGACACTTAGTGGTCTGGCAGTTTCTCCAACATAGAAACTGTAGCATTCACAGATTATTTTTTATATGCCATTCTTTGATCTTTCTTACGTGTTATTGAGTTTGGTTTTGGAGATTGATTTTGACATAATACATCTCAGTGTGTGGCTGTTTTGATTGTTGTTATGATGTTATTTACTGTACTTATTTCCTATCCCTTTCAATTTTTCTGATAAGCCCTTTACATATAGTGTTATTGTCATTTCCCTTCTTGTGGGTGTTTCTTATTGCTTGCGGTGTTTTTGTTGTTTCTTTTTTTAATATTGTGAAATTCCTTGTTTATAAATGACAATAGGTAGTCATTTTTGTCAAAACCCTTGTTAGCAGGTTTTTTCTTCATGAAACGCATTTTCATTTAAGCTGGTGTTTTGGGTTATATCATAACAATGATATGATAATTCCTTTTTTGATATTTATGTTGTAGTTTACTGGTAATTTAAATATCTGTTAGTGTGGGTTGGTTTTCTGGAAACTTTGGTTGCATATATATGCCCTCTTTTGCGATTAACACATCCAGAAAAGGAAATAAATTGTTGTTTTCTGTTTCCATGCTAAATTTGATTGATTTTTCTTTATTGTTGACCTACATCAGAAATTTATTCAGTGCTGCTGGACCGTGAGGCCAAATGCCGAAGTATATCCACCATATTGTAGGTTGTTTGTCTTGTTTTTGTACAAAATTTTGTTGGAAATCCTCCATGAATATATCTGCTTATTCCATATCAATATAATATCATGCTAAACGCAATATCTGCTATTCCATATACACATAATAATTAATTTGCCACCTCCCACAAGAAAACAGTTTCAGAACCTTCCCATCATGTAGTTTGTCGAAATTAGGAAGCCAACTAAAAGATAAAATAATCGAAATAAAATATGTTAAAAAGGATATTCTTATTCTTCAAGTGCCATCTCCTCCACGGAGGTCGGCACTCATCATAGGAAACTAGGTCATTATGTTAGTACCAAGCCAAAAGAAAAAAGCAGATATTATTCAAGCTAGGACTAATAATTATTTGGACTTAAAAGTTTAGGTGTTTAGTAAATTTAACGGTTATTAGAGGTAATGGATTTTGGAACAGCTATGACCTTGAACATTTCACATAAACTTGTGTACTAAATAGGCATAATGCATAGCTCTTGTCAAAATCCAATACATTAATAATATAATTACATATCTTCGATTCTAAAATATTGTAAAAGACTTTAAAGAGTATGAGTAAGAAAAGAGATATTTAGTTATATTCTTTGTGGCATTTTCAAGGTCATAGCTGTTCCCAAAATCCATTACCTATACTTACATTGAACATTCGAAATTATGTTGTACTCTTTTTTCCGATATTCCAAATTGCACAATATTATAAAATAAATATGAAAAAACCGTGATCATTGTGTAAAACTTAAATTTTTGTTATTTTTTCAGGTATTTCCAATTGACGCAAAGCTTAGAAAACAAACACTTGGATACTCTTTAGGTGGAAGGAGTAGGTCTTAGCAAATTTCAGAAAGTGCCAGATCTAACTCTTCCATGCGAAGAAATCCTAGTAACGCATCAGCCAGACAGACTTCATGGATATCTACGTTTGAATTCGATGACATTTGATGAGTTCTGTAGAGTAAGTGGAGAAGTGGTCTCTTCACTTTGTTTAGAATAGTGAGATTCAACTCCTCCAACTTAGTTTTTGAGCTCACTTCGACCGAGTTGTCATTAAGACGAAGATTGCCCTTTTCATCAATTTGGCAAATGCTTGTGGACGTTTATAAACAAATTAATTCGCAACTTTTTAGTGAAATTTTTTGTTTAATGAAGTATGTAGATCTTAAATCAGCTGTATTTAATTCATTAATTATTTTTGCATTATAAAAGCCACGATAATATTGGTTTAGGAAATATTTGCTTGCCAGATATTCTCTGCGCAATGAGAGTGGGTTTTCAGATGCTAGAACTAGGGTGGCTTCATTTGGAGTGCTTTTCATTAATCCTAACACAATTCTTAAAGCTTTAAATTGGATTCTATCAAGTTTATGTATTGGTTATGCTAGCTGGCCCATATACCAAACAGCAGTAATCTATTATAGACTTTATATAGGCTCGATAAAAGTTTAATGCAATGTTTTGATCTGCAACCCACGATTTCTTACACGCCATTTTAAGAAAATGAATACCTTTTTCGTATCGACTAATTGTATAATTAATATGTTGAGTCCAAAGCAATTTTTAGTCAAGTACGACACCAAGATATCTAAATTTCGAAACAATTGGAATATCATTGCCATGTAAGGTTGCAGCGTGATCTTTAATAGGGTAAAAGTCAAGGTATTGAAGGGATATAAAAGTGCATACTTTACCTCCCCCTGGCTCTTAGACTATAGCAACATTTATATTATTGACACTTATAAAACACTTTTTATTCCACTTGAAAAATTTTGTGATAATTTTTTTTTGTTTTATTTCACTAAAGACATTTGCATGTATATTTCCATACAATATGGGTACTAAAATTTCTTATGTCTTCTCCTCATGTGTGTACAAAAATAGTTTCGTTATTTTATTCAGGAATGGAGCTACTTTCCCATTACTTTAACGGTTAAAATGTGTTTATTTTATTGTAATTTTATTAAAAACAAATATATGTACAATATACTTTTTAATGAATATAAATTAAAACTAATCAATTACAGCATATTTCCATCAGGACCTTAATTAGGCTGTTTCTTTGGGGTTGCGCTTAAGTCGAGTTTGGTGATGAGCTGAAAAATATTTGATTGGATTAGTTAGTATAAAATAATCGTAAAAAACGTAAATATTAACTAATGTTTATTTATAAACACGATTTGAGTGGAAGAGGGCAAAGAAATATTGGAGAAGAGGGTTGGAGAAGGACTACTGAAGAAAGAAGACTTAAGGTTAGCAGGTCGGAAACGAAGTATATGTGGTTGAGAGAAACACGAATCGTTAATGAAAGTGAGGAAACAAGGCTCAGGAAAAAAAGATGGAGGTAGCTGAAATGAAACTGTTACAGTGGTAAGACTAGAACGAACAAGATCAGGACAAAGAGTTGAAGTAACTACGGTCTCAAAAAAGGACTGTTAAAGGCTTTTTCTATGAGTTTTTTATAGTAAATATATCTGTACAAGAGTTTCTGGAACAAAAACAACTCTGTTCTTCTAAAGTTTGCAGCTGTTCCTCCATCTTTGCTTAAATGGTTTTCCATACAACCTACCCACAGAAGGTGTAACGCATATTCCCCTATAATTATTGGATTTTTTTGTCTTTATTTCCAATAAATAATCATTTGTTCAATATTTGTTTTAGTTATTGTATTAAGGTCGAATGGGCGTAAATTTTAGCAGTTCTGCGGCCAGTCTATTTGTCCAGGGCCAGTTGCTTTGTTAATTTCATCCTTTTTAGCCCATTTCTTATTTCGTTTTCAGATTTGCAACTTGTGTTTGTTTTCTCTCTTTGTTTTACTAATTCATCTATTTTTATTGATTCTCTTTACCTTTTCGTAGGTATTCTGTCTGAAGTTCGTCAACATTTTTCATGCCTCCCGTACTTTTGAGCTTCCTATTAAGTTATTTATATCTTTACATATTTGTTTGCCAAAATTGGTTTTTTCTGCTCTTCTGCGATTCATGTTGTATCGATTCCTTTTTGATTTTATATTAAAGTTTGAAAAATTAAAGGCAAATATCAAGCACAATTTTAATAATCAAATCTTCAAAATAGTCAAGTTCTTCTCCATGATTCTCTCTCCTGTTGCCGACAAGAATGTAGAGCGTAGAATAATTTTTAAATAATTTTAAACTGTTTGTCCTTGTTTTAGTGTAGTGTTATGTACAATTTATGTTCAATTTCATGTTTATTACATTCTGCGCTTGCTGGATAGAGCAAATTTGACGAAATGCCCCTAATAATGTTGTAGGAAGCGAAAGTACTTGGGCACGATTTGATTATTAAAATTTTGCTCGATATTTGCCTTTAATTTTTCGAAGTTCATTTATTCGAGCATTCAACCTTATTTCGATTTATATTGAAGTTTTAAATGTGTCACAAAAATTATCAACTGTACATGTGTGTTGAATAAGTGCTCGTTTTATCTACCTTTATTAATATATTTAATAATGGAAGTTATTATGCAGGATATTTTCTGTAAATGTTCACATTTCTGGTTCTTTTTGTAGATTTTAATAAATTTTAATAATAATTCGAGCACACTTACCATTTCTGCCTTCCAAACCAAAATTAACTAAAAAGAAAAATTATATTTGATTCAACTATCAACAAAATTCTTATTACATAGTACACTTATTTCACAGTAATTTTAGCGTACTTATTATAAATAGTGAAATACAGTACGGGTTGTTCGGATAATCGCATCGTTCGCATGACCTATGGCTTTTTTACTGGGAGTAGAAAAACTGCAAAAACACAATAAAAATAACTGAAAATGCTTCATATATATTAATAAAATATTATATTATACAAATATATAGCCAATGTATCTAATAAATACATATTATCTATACAAGTTTCAATGGAAACAGTAAAAAAATCTGTAATTTTTTTCTGGACGCCAGCCTCGACGTGCTGATCAAACGCTCTGTCTCTTCTACGCCTCAGCATCATGATCTTCTCGCTGCTGTTGAGGTTGTATTCTGCCCAACTGATGGCCGTATTCAGGGCTTTAACATTTTGAGCAGCAAAATTTTTTAAAGCAAGTAGTTCATCATCGACATCCTCCCCTTTCGTTTTCTTCATTTTGAATGGCGCTTACAATTTCTTCATTCGTGAACATGTCTTGGGTGTAAATTTCTTTGTCACAGCCACTTGATGCCCATTCTCGAACCTTAGATTCAGTCATTATTGTCGTGTTTTCTTGAGCCAGCTAAGAGAAAAAGGGGCTTAAGATGATGCATTTTTCGTTGGATGAAGAGTCGTCAACAGCCACTAAGTTTGGGCTTAAGATTTTTCAAGAAAGTTGAATCATACGTTGTGAAATGAATGACCAAACGACATCCTTGAGATTAACTTCTTCTTTTCTTTAGCCCAGTTTTGTGTTCTGGATGACATTTTGCTCCATTGGTTGAATCATAGCTATCGTGTTGGGTGGTAAGAAGATGGCAAACATTTTACCATCTTTACTACCAAATTCATCAGCGGATGGATGACCAGGACAGTTGTCCAGCAGCAACACTGCCTCCTGAGGGAGGTTAACACATGCGAGATGACGACGAACATCAGGGACGAATTCAAATTTGAACCAATCCAAGAACAAATCTTTTGTTACCCATGCACTTTTTTCCCTGGTACCAAACTGGAAGATCCACAGATTTGAATGCATGAGGCTTGTTAGCTGTCTCCACAACAGGCAAATGAAGTTTGTGAGTCCCTGAAGCATTTACACAAGGCATAAAGGTGATTCTTTCTTTCATAATTTTTCTACAAGGAGCGTTTTTTTCTTAAGATAACACCAATGTGAGGTAATAATAATAAAATAACCCACTTTCATCTGCATTGTAAATTTGCTGGTGTCAAATTGTTTTTAATGACAAATTTTCAAATGCAGTTTGGAAGGGTTCGATATCGTTGGCATTACTCGAAAGTTTCTCACCAGTAATTTTGAGATGTTTAACTAAGTCACGTCGTTTAAAGTTGTTCAACTAACCCTTACATGCCCTAAAAGCTTGGTGATTTGGTAACATTTCATAATGTAAATGACGGGCTTTTTCACACAATATTTCACCACTCACCGGAACATGCTTTCTCAGCTGTTGTAGGAACCACATGAACAACGCACTTTTTACCTTCGGATATTCGGGGGGTTTGATGGTTTTCCTCTTTCTTGGACCGTTTTTAGTTTACTCATCAGCTATAACTCTATAACTATTTACTTAAATGTTGAAAATAATATCCACCAACGTCCATACAATTATGAAGTCGCTGATCGAAATTTCGAAGAATATTTTGGAGCATTTTAGAGGTTACTACACTACATTCATGTACTATTCGTTATCTTAGTCCTTCCAATAAAGCTGGAGTGGTATTATAAATCTTACTTTTTAAATAACCCCATATGAAGAAGTCCAGGAGAGTTTAATTTGTGATCTTGTTCTCCGTTCAATAAGTCACCGATTGACCTCTCCTGGACTTCTTCATATGGGTATATTTAAAAAAGAAAGGTTTATATTACTATTCCAGCTTCATTGAAAATATTTACATAACGAATAGTGCATGAATGTAGTTTAGTATTATTAGTAGTTAGTAGTAGATAATGTTGAAGTATTTTAAAGAGTTTAAATTTTAAATTTTAGAAATATTTTAAACAGATTTTATACCTTATAACAATCTTGTTTTCCTTTACACGTCTTAGACCACCACCCCTTTTTTCCTAAAGGACTTCACCATAAAAGGTATAGGTGTAGAGTATATTTTGTATTCTATAAGTTATTAACTCCTAGAATATGACAAAAAGGCCGTTCACAAACTTGAACATCTTTACTTTCACGAAATGTTCTAATGATAAATCTGTATTTCTTTTTCTTTTCGGTTTTTCCCCTTGTTTACGTCATGATGGCAACTGAGTAAAATCACCAACGTGTGTTTCATAATAAACTTATTCTGATTACTTTACTTGTTTTCAAATGCAGTTTGAAAAAAAAAGGATTCTCGAAATTTGAGACAGTTTGGTATGTTAGTAGAGATTGTGATTGTTTGTTATAGTTGTGTTGAATATTACCTATTTTATTTTTTAGACATACAAGTGTTTTTAGACAAGTGTTTAGTTTGTACCTGACTTTATTTTATTTCATAATAGAACATTTTTTATATAAATTAAAATTACGTACCGTCAAGGTTTCCTCTCAGTCCAAAAAGATTGGGTACACCGCCAGCAAATGTATCTGCTAAATTTTGGGGAGGACTTGATTTTGCTGCTTCTAATAACAACAAAAATTATATAAAGTTAAAAAATTTTTCCTACAAAAATATACATTCGCTCATAATGCTCAGTGGTTGATGCAATTAGTTAAAAAATAAACATTAAAAAATATACATTTCATTCTACCTATTTAAATCTCAACTCATCCAATGGTGAAAGAGCTGACGAAAGGTTAGATTCAGTAGCTCTTTTTTTCCTCATTGTCTGTTTCAAGATAATATAAAGAAGGAGGATAATGTCATAGTAAAGCTAGCTCCGTGAATAATTGTAGACCGGTAAATGGAATCTAAGCCAAGTTAAACGAGCAAATGACTGCGATTAGAGACGAATCGAATGAAGAACGAAAGAACAAACAGGTTACAGATATAGTTCAGAATATGAAGGAAACACACTTAGAAGCAGATAAATTAATCAAGAATAAATCATGAATAACAGATGAGATCCTGAAGCTGATGAACTAAAGAAGAAAAGCCAAACTTGACCCCAAATAGATACAAAGTAATAAATATATCAATAAGAAGGAAAATCAAAGAAACTGTATGATAGTCTGTACATAGGAAAGTTAAAAAACAGATGCACTATGATGAGGATAGAAAGGAAATTTATCTGATTCTCACGAAAACACCATCTTGGAAAACAAAGTAAAATAAGAACGTTTATATTTAAGAAACTGTTTGAAGACAAAAGAGATAACACCTTTGAAGTAGAAGAGTAGGTAAATTATGGATCAAGAATATTGTGACAACATGATTATTCTACAATAACAGCTAAAGGATGGTAAAGCAGCAGGCTCCAATGATATACAAGAAGAACTCTTAAAAATAATAGACAACGAATCACAAAGATACGCAACAACATATACAAATCTTGAGTTTATAGAGAATACATGAGTTTATTGCACTTTCAAAAAAATCAGTGGTCAAGAGATACGAAAAATACGTATATACGATAAAAATATTATAGTCTACAAATTGTGGGTAGTGAACAATTTTTATCTTGAATCAATTGTCAATAAAAACATTGATTTAACAATATCGTATAAATATTGTTGAGAAAACTTACCCGCGCTTGGTGATGGTGTTTTAGTCTCGGTTGTTTCTGAAAAATAAATTATTAGACTCTATTAAAGACTCTATCAAATAAAAATCTATTTATTTGTATTCCGGTTTTCAAAAATTTAAACACCTTTCCATTGGAATTGGTGAATGAGCAACAACGAATTTGATGGTCCCATCTTTTAATGTACTACGATTTTACTGTTATGATTACTAAAAACTTGTAGCAGAATGAACTGAACCCGAATATTCAGCTCCGAACTAAGTGAAGAGGTCGAAATCATCTGCGAAAGTTGTAATATAAATTATTTCAGATTTAAATCAATTTTTAGTACTTTATCACCTTTAAATTGATGAAATAATAACAAAGTAATATTTTTAGAAACTTTTATACCAGCTGGACGAAAAAGTCGCGAGAAAATATATGGATTGCAAAAGAAAAACTATCTATTACCATTCCCAATAATCTGCTCATACTAGCGGTGTTGTAAAAACAAAATTACTCAATCTATCTTCTGATACTTCCATATATTCCTAAACTTCGACAAATATCCACATCGAAATAATTTTTAATCAAATAAAGCAAATTTTGCAGTCTTAGATGACGTTTTACTGAATTTTCGGAAAATTTTCGCAGGGAAAAATATTGCTGAGTTTTCCTATATAAAAATATAAGAAACAATAAACTCATTTTTTTAACATAAAATCATTTAACATAAAAAAGTTATTTATTTCCGTCAATTTTTTAACCAGCCCGTTGAAAAAAAAATGTACATATATTTACCTGTTAATGGTGATGAACCATCATGCTCGGTGATTTCTGTAAAATAAATACGTATGGTCATATTAAGAATTACATATAGTCAAAATCTTATTTTAAAACAATTAAAAAAGTATTTGATGCAATTGATTAAAACATTATTCATCCCTCATTGATGGGATAAATATCTTATCGATAGTTCTACCTCCTGATACTTCTATCTGTTCCCAAACCTCGAAAAATATCCACGTAGAAAGTATTTTTGATTAAATAAAGCAATTTTTGCAATTGATTTGATTGAATTTTCTGAAATTTTCCTCGGGGATGAGATAAATAAATTGAAGAAACTCTGTAAAAAGTGCGTTTAACCTAATATAAATATAGGGAAGAATAGGGGAATTTTTTTATAACATAAAATCGTTTTTCATTTCCGTCAACTTTTTAACAAGCCCCTTAAAAAAATTATATATTTGCCTGGTATTGGCGATGAATCATCATGCTCGGTGGTTTCTGTAAAATAAATACACATAGTCATAATAAGAATTGCATATGACATTTTTCATATAAAAATGCTTGCACGTCACAATTTATATAAAGTGACGTCACTTATATTTAAAATTTCCAGAACGTCAACCTTAGAGTTCAAATTTTCCTAACACAGCTAATAATACGAAACCCATACCTAACTATCTTTCATAAGCGTCAACCGGGTGTAATAATCAGAAAAATTTAATCATCATTATATTGGAAATTTTAGAATTATATTGATTAAATAACCAAAAACACTTGTTATTATTAATAATATAAATTTGATGAAATAACTCTTAAGTCTAATATTCCTCAAAAAATTAATTTTAATTAAATAGATTAGACAATTGTACGCAACTGATACGGGAAAACTTCAAATTTTATTAACAGGTCAGCGTGTGGCAAAAGTGTTACCGCTTTTTTAGAGTAAGAATTTTGTTTATGTTTTGATTTCTTACACAATTTGATCATAATATAGTATATATTAATAAATTATATTTATAAATAAATATTAAATTTATATTAGCTTTAAAACTAATTATTGTTGTGTATTATGATTGTGCTATGCCAAAACAAATAAATAGCCTGTAGAAAGCTAATAAGCTTTCATATAAAATAAACTATTTTGAACAAGAAATAATGGCGGGGCGTTTTTACTATTAAAGCCCTAAAAGAGGTAAGTTTAAAATTTAGAATATATCATTTTGTATTAAAATGTTTTCTTATGTATCTTAGTGTGTTGCAGTAGTCTTAAAACTAAGTGTATTTACTGTTAATATAGTAGTCTGAAAAATAGTTGACATTTTAAAAATTCCTCACTCACTAGATATTCTGATGTTTTGGCAAGGCTGTGTTCTGATGTCGTAAATCTTGAATGACGTGCAAGCATTTTTATATGAAAAATGTATATAGTCAAAATATTAGTTTAAAAGTATAAAAAGTATTTGACCGCAATTTAATAAAACGTTATTTATTCTTTATTGATGGGATAAATATCTTATCGATAGATCTACCTTCTGAGATGCTTCCATTTATTACCAAACCTCGAAGAATATCAATGTAGAAAGTATTTTTGATCAAATAAAGCAATGTTTGAAGTCTTAGATAGGATTTTATTGAATTTTCGGGAAAATTGCCTTAGGGGAGAATCACGGCAAAAAGTGCAATTAACTTAATAAAAATATAGGGAAGGATGAAGTCTTTTTATCATAAAAATGTTTTTCACTTTCGTCGAATTTTGAACCAGCCCGTTAAGCAAGAATAATTGAATATTTACCTGTTGCTGCTGGTGATGAACCATCATGCTCCTCAGTGGTTTCTGTAAAATATATACTTTTATATTTTATTTTAAACATTAAAAAATTAATTGACTGTAAAAAAGTATTTGACGCAATTAATTAAAACAATATTAATCCCTCAGATATTTGTAGATCTCATATATCACACAAGAATAAAAGGCTAACCGCAAACTACTTAATAACCTGATAACCTGATAATTCACTGAAAGATGGCACTGTAGTCATTACAAGGGACATAGAAGATCTTTAGGTACCATCTGCAAAGCTGCACTTCAGCGATCAAATATTAAATTCTTTTCTTTTCTATGGTCGTAAAATAACCAAAACATCTAATCTCGCGGAATTCATAGCAACCAACGAATGGTCCAAAACTCAAAGGCTTCGATCCTATTTAACGTGTCAGCTTTTAGTGACCAAGCTTTAACTCCATACACCACAATAGATCACACATAACATTTGAGAACACAAATTCTAGTACTTAATGTAAATAATTGTGAGAAGAATCTTAATTTAAAAAAAATGAGTAGAGATGTGATAAAAAGTCTTTGAGATATGGACAAATTGTAAAGATCTTGACAAAGCATTGTAAAGATCGCAAAGATGGATTACGTTAAGCAAGTTGAAGGAAAAGAAGACGAGAAGAAATAAAATAAATGTAACTGCAATATCTCTGATATATATATATATATATATATATATATATATATATATATATATATATATATTATATATATATATATAATATATATATATATATATATAATGCGTGGAGACTAATACAGCCTCTTGGAGACCATAATATAAAATAAGTTGCAGAAGAAATTATTTAAAAATATCATGATTAGGTTAAAATAAAGGCAGGGTATGACTGCAGTTCAAAACAATAACTCTTTTTTTAAATAAAGTTGTAATAATATATTTACCTGTATTTGTTGATGATTTCTCAGTTGCACTTGATTCTACAAAAGAAAACAAGTAAGAGTATACACTAAAGAAAAAGTGTCAAACAGTAAAAATGTACGGTTTGAGAAATAATTTAAAAATAATACTCATATATAGATGACCATAGAGGGGTGGCCAAACTTCTTGATTGTCCGAGTCATTTTTCAAAATTTGAAATTAACGTATTAAAAATGTATGCAAAAAAGGTATTAGTTACAATGATCAGATCAAATACATTAATGAAATACGTTGTAGCTAGATATCAATCTAACAATGCAAAAGATATTAATTTCATGTGGAAGTTCTTCGTCCTTTAATTCCTCAAGGAAATTTTATTAAGAGGAATATCAAAAGTATTTAATATGGAATCTAATTCATTTTTATTATTGATACCACAGATTGGCTCTTGAAGTGGCACTAAATCTAATAATTCTTCTTTATTAACCAAACCAAGTGAAATAAAACGTAAAAAAACTTCCAATTTCGGAAGATCTTTGATACTGTCGGTTTGTCAATGGCTAACTAAGTTGAATGCAAAACCATTGTTTAAATCCTTTTTAAATCATCTTCAAGAGTTGAAGACATATAATTGTACTTAAGCGTTGTTCGGTTGTGTGTCTCGAAATCGGGATCTGCGAAACAACTTTGTGCAATGTTGCATTTTTTGGATACATTATTAGCTTGATTGCCAATGGTCATCAAAATTTACATACTAAAACAATTTTTAATTGAAGGCGATTAATTGTTAACATCGCCATAAACCATTTTCCAGGCGTACCAAAATAATATTTTAATTATTTATTTAAATACATAAGTAATTACGTAAAAATTAAATAAAAGACCGATATAATTATTAAATTATCATGTATGCTTTGACAGGTATCTTATAATTGTCTAATAAAATAAAGTAAAATTTTATTGTTATTATTGAGCCTAATGTAGTACTTCAAAAAACAGAAAACTTTGCAAAATACTTATTTTTTCGTTGGACTAAACAATATGAAATTTTAACCTACAAACTCGTCAAACTTCATTCTCTATTTATAGAATTGCTATGTGCTGTATACGTTATATTTGTTTTTTCTTTAACTTGATTTGAAAGATTCTTTGTGTTCATTTGGTTTGTATTTCATATTAATTAAAATAAGATAAGCTAAACTATTATTATGTGAATGCGTGTATTTAGTAGTGCATTTTGTTTGTTTATTAAATTTTTTGTTTATTTTAGTAAATTCTCGAAATGTGAAATAAAGAAGCCACTAACTACTAAAGACTTAATGGCTTTGGTAGACGAAGACTCAGATTGTGAAAATGCTGACTAACTTAATGTGGTTTATGTGCCACCGGAATCAGATCAAGTTTTCGATGTAGAAGACATTAATGATAATATTATTTGTTAAGAAGGAATAAAATCACGAAAATGAAAAGGAACTCGGGTACATTTATCGAGGGCCTCAAATAATTCTTTGAAATGTGGCTCGCGAGCCATAATTTGGCCACCCCTGTAGAAATAGATGTACACTATTAAAAATTATTTTAAATTTAATTATTTTTCAAAAAATATACTCAAAATTATTAAGTATTATTAAGTATTCTTACCCGTACTTGCGGCTTCAGTAGCTGTTGATTGATTAAGAGCATTTCCTGTAAAGTTTAAATGAAAGTATTAAAAATCCTTTAATTTCAAGGTTTGGTTAAGTAAAATGAGAAAAGGCAGGAAATATTTGATTTCACGCAAACAAATCCTATGTATCTCTTGATACGTATTTCGACCTAATAGGTCTTGTCAGAAGAGCTATTCATAGGGGTTCTCAACGTGAAAAACCAATATTTTCTGCCTTTTAAGAAGCAACAATAACATGGCTTTAATACGGACGCACTAGCGACATCTAATTAAACAATCGTAAAATAGTTTCGAAACACAATTCAGATTTCTGCTTTATAATCTGAGCCTTCTAAGAATTGTAAGGCAAACAGACGTTGATAAAAGATGGGGGACATGGGGAATCTAAAATTTGCATTCCACGACATGTCTTTTACAACTAAGCAGAAATCCTTAGCGAATTGTGCTTCTAGTACTCACACAGAGTAAATCCGAATAAAATGAGAAAAGGCAGCAAATATTTGATTTCACGCAAACAAATCCTATGGATCTCTTGATACGTATTTCGACCTAATAGGTCTTATCAGAAGAGCTATTCATAGGGGTTCTCAACGTGCAAAAACCAATATTGTGTATATTTGTGTATGTGTTTCTAAATTGTGTTTCGAAACTATTTTACGATTGTTTGGTTAAGTCTTTACAAATATTTATATATTAACCGCAGGATTATCATCCTAACCATAATAACAGGCTTCCTTAATAGACATCGGACATAGACATAGACATACAGACTTAAGACTCTCAGTCAAGGAACAATGAAAGTGGATAGAGAGATCTATCCACTAACAATAGATCTCAAATATGTAAACACGCATAAGAAAATGAATATAAAGTTCGATAGAAATATTCATGTATAGTCCTAAACAAACATGTGTCGCAAATTTCACGACAGAATGCAGTAAAATCTGGTTCCCCATATTAAAAGAGACAATCAATAGAAAGAAAATACCGATATTAGTAAGTTAATAACATATCGAGGATCTTCTTCTTCTTCTTGTAATTCCTTCTCATATTTTTTCCATTTCGTAGCCAGAAAATTCTTCGTCTTCTCGCTTATAACTAATTTATCAGTTTCTGTGTCTAACAAGATTGCGACTCCATAGCGATGAGCCGGATCGTTGTTTCCAGCATAATACATCATGCCGTTTTTGGTTATAAGTTTGCCGGGGTCTGTCCATTGTACGTCACTTATGCCCAGTATATTTATTTCCATTATGGTCATTTCTTTTATTAAATTGTCTAATTTTCCTGGCTGGTACAAGCTTCTTACATTCCATGTTGCAAATCTTATTTGTCTACATTTATGTATTCTTAGACGTGTAATTTTATTATCAAACGAGGATTTTGCTTGCTATCGACCTGGAAGGCCTCGTCTTTTATATGATCTTTTCCTTTCCTGTAGAATCTGGGTTTCCGGATTCCATGATAAGTAACGGAAAATATTGACTTTTTGCGTATTTGCCATGATGAATGACTAGGGAAGTTCTGTTGAACCTTTAATTCAGTGGTTTCCCCTTGAATTCTGCATTATTTTGCCGTTGACCAATTTTTCGGTTCTTCCGCTTTTGGAGTCGATTTCTATGCTCTATGACAAAATATTCTCCTATATCGAGGATATTTTGGTACAACTGGTCATTTAGGTCAAGTGGTCAAAAACCGTTTTGCGTCAATTTTCTCTGTCGTACTGGGAGAACAAATCTGTATTACAGCCAATTTGTATTATATTTCCATGCGAAAACCGCCATTTTGGCAATTTTAGGTTAGGATATCTCAAAAACTAAAGCCAAATTTTTAATTTGAAACTCAGATTCGGATTCAGCGCACAAAAAACCTTCTGAAAAGTATATTTTGATCTATAGGTCCGGATTATTTGGGATATTTTGATATTGGTCAAATTTTACAACCACAGAAACTGAAATATGTTTCTCTACGTTGAAACTGATCAAAAGACTTCTAAAACTTTAGTTGGAAAAACTTCTGCCCTCAACGAAAAGGATAAAAACAGAAAGATAGAGTTTTCACTTTAGGAAATAGGTTTTTAGTAAGTACCTATTTATTTTTGTATTCTCCAATTAGCCTTGAACAAAATTATCACCAGCCGCCACTGCTCTACTCGTATATATAATTAACACCAATATTACTTACCTTGTGGAATTATGTTTCCAAAGTTCTTTTGTATATTTTCAACTATTCCACTTATGGGGTTACCACCCTGGGGATTTCCAAAATTTTTAATAACATCACCAAATCCATTTGAAAATATTTGTTGAAAACTACTAGCGTTTAAAAATTTGGAAAGATTATTATCGCTTCCAAATGCTGAAGAAAGTTGCTTCGCTATTTGTCCAAAAATTGGAATGTGTGACAGAGCTGATTGGAAGTTGGAAGTATTAGAGAATAATTCTGTGAAGTTTCTCCCTTGTAAAAGGTTTTGCAGACTGGTACCATTGGCGTTGGTAAATTGAGATATATTGAACCCAGGCACGAGTTGAGATATTATTGAAGGATTTTGGTTACTGAAAGCTTCTGTTACAAATTTGAAAAATGCAGGAATGCCTTGAGATGGAGAAAAATTGGAGATTATGTGAAAAATGCTTCTAATTTTATCGAGAGGATTAGGTGAGAGAAACAGTTTTATCAAATCAAGAATACGTATATTTTTGATTGCTAAGGTGCCGTGGTCCAGTTCTCGTAAGTATGTTAGCAATCTTTTTATACCTTCATTGTGAGGATAATTCCGTTCATGAGCTTCAGCTGCTTCTATAGCTTTATGAATAACTTCTCCCACCGTTATTTCATTTATTGAAGTCGAATTAAGCTTAACTACAGAACTAATAACACTATCGACAGATCCTTGGCCGTGTATAAGTTCTATTACATTAACTAAAACAGTTATTAAACCATCCAAACCTTCATGAGATCCAGCGCTAATGTTCTTTAAAACTCCCAAAGCTATTTCTCGCGAACTAGTAATATTGTTAATGAATGTACCAAGATCATTATTTCTGCCTAATCGGGACAATAAATTAATTAAGACTTCTATTCCGCTACTTCTCGAAAAAATTCCTCTACAATCTGAGTTTAAAGGTGTTATGTCAAGACCAAAATTTCTGAAATATGCCAAGCTTTGGGTAACTTTCAAAAACCACTCAAAATTATTTGGAAGAGTAAACGATACATCTTGATGGAATAAAGATGCTAAAACACCACTTACATTTTTGGAAAACGTTAACAGGTAATTTAAGAACTGTCGGGGTGGGGAAGAAACTCCAAACGATTTTAAAAACGATTGCAACTCTGTGCTAGCTGCTCCTGCCAAATTATCTATATCTAATTTCTGGCCGTTGGTTGTAGCAGCTTTTAATATATCTGGAGCGGAAAATTTTTGTAAGTAATCCTGGAAATTTAACGCAGATGAATTCCAGTTCAAGTCAGAATGTTGCAATTGGAAGAATGATCCTGCTTGGAGATCAGAAACGAAGGAGGTTTCTTGGGAACCACTCAGCAAAGTAGCTATGGACGCTTTGTAGTCCAGAATAAGAGCATACTTCGATGTCTTGCTAAGGAGTGCAAACAACGATTTGGAGCTTTTCAATGTAACTTCAAGACCAGTCTCGATAGGATTATCTAAAACAAAAAAAACAGTTTAGAATACATTACAGACTGGGTACAATGAAAACATTTTGGCGTTTATCGTTCATAACGTATGTATTAATGTATTAATAGTCCGACACCTGGGTACCTTACTGTAAACATAAAAGGGTAGGTAGATAAAAACTATTCTATCTTATATAAAATGTTTCTCTAAATACGAATATGTACGTCTCCCATCTCAAAAAGTAGTACCAATTTTTAAAAAAACATTTTTATAAATAAGTTTTACAATAGAAGGTGTTAAAAGCAAAAGGGTACAAGTGCATATTTGCCATAAAATCAATTATGTGCAGATTTGGGTAGTTAACATACCAAATTACATAGTGGCATGAGGATCCAAATAAATTTAATACCTGTAGTACCATCTATAGGCTACTGAAAATTACATAGAATTAAAAATGTAGACACATTTACCGACAAACCGGTACAAGCACACTTGGACCGTTTTAGCTCTAAACGTTCGAGATAAACTCTTTAATGGTAAAAATATTATATTGTAGGTTATGTACTTTTGTTTTTGTTTTATATTGCTAATACCGGTTCTCGTGTAAATTTAATTTTGTCGACTTTAAAATGTGCTAAAAGTAAAACAATAATAATTTATTATACATTTATTTCAATCATTCATTAAAATAAATTTTCAGTTAATTTTTGCAAACATTAACCCATACAATGTTTTTATATTATGCAGAATTGCAAGTCTATAAACCTGATAAATATAATTCTGATAGTGAGTCGGATCCATTCTCATTCAACTGATGAGGACAGTGAATATTATGAACCAACTTCAGACTCTTTATCCTAGGAGGAAGGTGGCTATAATCTCAATCCTGACAAATTGGTGTCAAATAGTGGCTTTGAAGTGACGTCAGCTCCGGCTCATGGTAAAGTTTTTATATTGAATAATTCACGTGCACAAAATAACACAGATTTTTTAGTTACAGAGGCAAAAGAATGAAGGCAAAGACAGCAAGAACAAATGAAAAAGAATAATTCCAATGACAAAAATTGAGCGAATATATTGAAACCAAATTGAAGAATATTTGAAGGCATTGATAAATGCCTACAAATTATTAATAAATAATGTATCTTTATAAGACACATTTTATTCAAATCTTCTTACACACCTCCAAAATTTTACTACAATACGTTGTACGTGGCAACACAAAACAATTGATTTATTGCATTTATCGCTTTTTGCATACAAAAAATTGAGTAGTGTCTGCTAGATAATTTTATTGATAATTATGATTATAAATACAACTTACGTGGTTCATTGCAAACCCAGGAGCATTGGCTATTTAATTTCGATCGATAAGCTTTAGAAAAAGTGGGCCCATGGTGATGATGACTTCTGGCAGCAGCTTGGTGATGATGGTGTTCTGAAGAATGGCTTCGACTTTTGGAAGATTTGTGGTGAGTTTTTTCGTGTAGATGATGGTTGTGTTGTCTTAGATGATGGTGTTTCTCGTGCAGATGGTGATTTTTTTCCTTTTCATGGTGTACGTGAGATTTTGCTTTAATATGCCGTTGTTTGTCGTCTGAAATGTATTTAATATTTTTCTTTCAAAATACTTTCAATAAAAATTTAAAATTATAATATAAAACCTCTCGAGGTATCTGCTGACGTCGATCTATTATCACCAACACTGTTTAATGGTTGGTTGATTTTTATCTCATGAAGGACGGGATAAAAATTAACAACGAAATAATAAATTACTTAAAAAAATTGTAGAAATTGGAGATTAATATAGCATTTTTTTATTTAAAAAACACCTAAGAGGTACATTGGATAGTTACAAATAGCCACAAAAGATTGGACTAACGAGCAAAATTTTCTCTATTAACAATGTTAAAACTAGTGCTTAAGTTCTCCCTAATGCTCAATTTTTTACCCGGCTTAAACATGGCACTTAACATGCACAGGACTTTTAGACATAAACTATTTGCACTAACTCAAAAGGTTTTACACTAATAGGTAAAGAAATAATAAATAAGACTTACTCACAATCAATTTAATTTAAATATCAGACGACCGGTTTCGCTTTCTACAATATGCAAAGCATCTTCAGGTCTCGATACAAAGTTAAACAAATGATGCCGGTACTCTATTAATATATGGATGGTAGAACATGTTTGAAACTACTGTATATTGTTGAATGGAGAACTCAATACTATTATTGCAGTTGTTTGACAGTAAACGGGAAGTTCTTGAGGAGGTAGATTTGATCCAATGAATTTGAGATATGTGTGAGATTGTTTGTTAAATGTAAGTGGTGTAATATATTATTCTGTTATTAAAAGTTATTTATACTTATTCCAGAGATATATTTTTGAAATGTGTGTTATTTATTGAGTAATTGTTTTATGAAGGTGACATTTATGACAATGAATAAGTGTAGATGTAAAATTGTGTGGGTGTGCAATTATTTCCAAACTTGTAGTTATCAAATTACTTTGATAAAGTTCTATTGGGAATGAGTTAATTATTGGAATGGTCAAGTGAATAAAATAGTAAAATACAAACACTTAAGGATAATTTAAACACACTAAAAACAGAAAACACTTAGAAGGTACGAAACAAACATTGAATTTAAAAGGGGAAGGACTTTAAAGCACTACATCATAGTCTTGGGCACAATGAGTTTTTTATTGTTGTATCTATTAGATTTTAGTGGAGTATAGTGTATCCTATATGCAGAGGACTAGATGTAGACTCAGATCACTTTATAGTCTGAATAAAAATGAAATGCTTATACCAGTTCTCAGAAATAAACGGAAAAAAGTTTTAAAATACTAAACCTTATACACTACTGTCAGAAGAAGAGGAAAGTAAATATGAAATAATAGTTAACAGAGAATTAGATAATATTGCAAAAAATTGATGTATTGAGAAACATGGACACAAATAAAAGTATACATGACCAAAGCGGCATAGGCCAGTAATAGAAATATAAAATATTAATACAACGAATACAGTAAAAAACGAAAGATAGAGAGAAAATATTACGAGCAAAGTAAAAAATTAATAATAAATAATTTAATAATAGTGAGTAAATAATAAAAAGTTGGAAAGAATACTTCGAAGAGGTTTTAAATGAAATACAAACAACAGAATATGAAGAAGAAAAATCCAAGGGACATACTGTATATTATCCAAATAATAGAGAAACTAAAGAACAATAAGGGCCTAGCAATTAATGAAGTGGCATTTGAAATGTTCAAATATGCAGGACCAATACTAATCAACCATCTGGAAAAGTTGCTAAATGAAATATGGGAACAAGAACGTAATACCACAAGAATGGACCAGAGTGATACCGTTACAAATTCACAAATATTGCTACAAAAGTTTATGCCACAAGTACACAGGAATAGCGGTACTAAATACTTAAAATAAATACTTATAAAAATCTCTCAATCTAAACTATCTCAAAAAATAGATAATGAAATTGGAGAATATTAATGCGAATCCAGAATAAGATGCAACACGGTAGATTAAATTTTTCTACTGTGCGAAATACAAGCAGAAAACCACGAATATGAAAAAACTAGAGTGCCCTATTCATCAACTTTAAGCAAGCTTTTGACAGAGTAAAACGAAAAGAAATATAAAAAGGATTACTTGAACTTGGAAAAAAACAAAAAATTAATAAGAATGGTAAAATTGATACTCCGATAACAGAGAATAGGGTCAACATAAATGGAAAAGAAACAGACATATCGGCACGATCCATAGGAACAAATAGAGTACTTTATTCTCCATTGTGGTTGACAAATAACATCACTAATGTAGTACACAATACAAAACAAGCATGTTAAAAGTAGCTGCAAACAAATGAGTCAGATGATAGATGAACCTACGCAAGATCAAACAGAGAAGTAAAAAGTCTAGTGACTAAAGCAAAAAATGTTTCCTGGGAAAGTAAATACAAAGAGCTTAATAAATATATAGGGTCACAAGATCAAGAGAATCATGAAAAACAGTAAAAAACCTAAGAATAAACAGAAAAGATGCTAATAAAATAGATTTAATATAAGAAAGGTCTTCTGGATCGAACATTACTCACAATTTCTGACTGAAACAAGACCACAATTCAAAACACCATTACAACATATGAAGTTTAATACGATAAAGACGATGAAATAAGAGTACAGGAAGTCGAAGATGCAATACGAAATTTAAAAAATCGAGAAGCATGCGGACTACAAAGGTATACCGAACAAATTACTTAAACACAGCTCACAAGTATTGCTGGAATTACTAGCGTATGTTTTAACGTTATTCTGCAAAAACATGACTTATCACCGATGTGAACTAAACAGCAAAAAAATAATAAATCAAGCAATGGAGAACTAATGTATATAGGATATAGGAAAGACATGCTTCAGATAGTATGTCAAAGAATCGCTTTGATACCTAATGATCGCATAAGAACGTGGCAATAAAGAATGATGTCAGGTAGGCGAAGAAGACATTGAAATGACTGACAAAAGTAGAGAAAGGCCATCTACGTGCTGGAGAGATAATCTAGAAAGAGTTAGGATAGATACATAGATCCAAGAAGCTCAGAACGAAAAGAATAGCTACGTTTGATGGAGGTTTATGTTTAACATTAAACGCAACAGGCTCAGTTATGATAATGATTGTGATTAAGAACACACTTGAATAAAGTAAATACAGAATAAGCATATATTTTACCAATATAAGGCATCAAAATGAAGGATATAACTCAATACAAATATGTTAAAAACTAAAATCTACTCACTCTGGTTCTCGGAAGTTGATATAACCAACGATATACCGAAACAAATTATCAGCGCCCCGATAAAGAGTTTCATAGTGTCGATTTGCAATAAAACATTTCTTGGGTACATTTATACCTTCGTTTCAATTCGAAGCATTTACGGAATTTGGACATTTGTTTTTACTTTAAACATAAATATGTTAAATATCATATTTAAACGATGACGACAATAATTTATTCCAAGTCTATCGGAATATTATTTTCTTTTAAAGTTTTAAAAAATAACTGTTTTATAATTTACACATTTAAAAGGGAATAATCTAAGATGTAGAATGAAAGTAAAATAAGTGACAAATATTCGTTAATATCTCGATCTTATGTTTGTATAGAAATATCGTAAGATCACAAAAACGAAGGTAGAATCTGATAACAAGGAAGTCAAGGACTGATCATCAAGGACAACCACTTACCAGATGGGCAGATGATCTAAAAAGGATAACAAGAAACTGTATTTCAGCTGTGTGAACACAAGTCCAACCAAGGTGCTGTTTGAAATCTCTTTTTGGTAGGATTATCGTAAAGCTGTAACTAAGTATAAGAAACTAAAAAGATTGAAAAAAGAATCATGAAGGAGGCATTTCGAGGAGATAGAAGAGACTGTAGAAATGTCAAGGCTCCACAAAAAGAACTCTCAAATAAATATTCCCTCACTCCAAAATGAGTCAGATGAAAATGTATTATCAAGCAATCCCAAAGCCGATTCAACTAAAATAAATAGACGAAATAAGCTGCAAAAGGATAGAATGCATGCTGAGGAGCCATGTGATATATGCAACGTTAAGAATGGATACAGTGTAAGCACAAATGGCAAGAGGATATCCGTGGGGGAAGTCTTATCTCCACTCTTGTAGAATCTGGTCGTGGATGGGCTAATAAATAGAATCAGCAACGACAGGCATCATGTCCTGAGCTATGCGGATGACTACATAAATATTCGATCATCTTAGCTTACGGCAAATTAAATATTGATCATAAGCTCCAAGAAGTTTCAAGTCAAGAAGTTCAAAATCATGAAAGGACTCCGAAACTATCCTTATGGAATACCACTCAGTGCACAGATTAAAAAAGTCAATGGGAACTAGGTCTGAAAAACTATTATTCTGAAACTACAGCCTTCTGAAGTTAATGGATTCAGGTGCTCAGTGTACGTCAAGCGCAGTAATTCACAGTCAAGTGAACGAAAATATTTATTGTTGAAAGAACAGAGACATATTTACTTTCTTTCTTTCTTAATGCATATTTGCAGGCTAAATATGAATCCGTGATCAAAAATAGTTGCATCGTATATTAGTTTTCGAAACGACTTCAAAAAACTGAAGAACACGATAGAAAATGTGTTGCTAGAGCGACATAAGAATTATCATATTTTCACAAATGTTGCACACTTATCCAATACCAGCATAGCTGCAGTTCCACCTTATCTTTAAAAACTATTGAAGCTCCTTCAAAAAACTGAGGAACAACCACAAGTGCTGCTAGAGCTTCACAGGAATACATACCTGACCTTAGCATACCAACAGCACCATTTGATTTTCAAGAAAACGCTGAATCATTACTGAGAAAATGAAGAATCGAGGCAGTGACACTTGCTGCATCGGTAATACCTTAAAATATCGCCTTAGAGAATTTTAGAAATAAATTCATCAGTTAAGGCCAGTTAAGGCAAGAACGTTCTCAGATCTACCAGTTAAGATTATGCTATGCTAGATTTCAATCGTTTATGACAAATTGGAATTTAAGTCAACCTCAACTATCTGTATGTTAAGATTCTGCTAATTTTGGTTAGATGCATCATAAGCCGTGTTATTTACAAATATTTTGAAACAATTTTGCGCAAGATGTGATTGATGCTTGACAAAAAACACAGGCAGGTGTTAAATCAATAGTGGATGCGAAGAATCCTCCAGTTTGGCGTAAAATTAAAAATAAAAATTTTAATATAGAACTGGTTGAATTCTAACAGAGAGTAAATTGATCACGATAGAAAATCTCATAACATCTTTTAATAAAAAATATAGTCACCAACTTGTACATAGTAATAATTACTGGAAATATAAATAATATGCGCGCATAGTTTTTTAATGACTGCGGTATAAGTTTGTAGAATTCTTTAGATAAAAAACCTATAATTAAAACTTCCCTATATTGTACTTATTACTTATGTTTACTAGTTTCTGTGAACACAAATTTGATAAGAGTTAAGTAAAATATCTGAGGTATACAATTACGCAAATGTCATTTTAATAAACCATTGCGTCTTTTTTGTTTTTTCTTCTTTCGTATCTATCATTTAATCATCATCATTTTTGGCTCTACAACCCTGGGTGGGTCTTGGCCTGTTCAAGAATTAGACTCATATTAGTTTCATATATTAGTATCTTGTTTTTTCTGCTAATTATATCTATCATTTAATAGACTATTTAATTATCTACTTATATACTATGGTTTGTTTTTTAACCAGGAGTAAACCAAAAAAAACAGATTCACACTCAAGAAAGTTACTAAAAAAGTCACCAAATACATCTTCTTTTTTTGGTTGATTATCTCGGCCTTGCGTTAATCCAGTAATCAGTATGGGACAACTAAAATAGGAATGTAATACCTATAATATTTAATATTTCCTATTTTTCTCATTTTTATAACATAATATTCCCTATTTTTCGACTTCTCTTCAAGTATATACAAGATAATAAAATGTACATTTGAATAAAGCTCTTCATCTCCTAAATGATTGCCTAACTCAGACACAATTTGAAGATTTTTTACTTTTTACGTTTTACTTGCTATATAGTTATTTATGGCTAACTCATATTTACTTACTTAAAATTGATTTGTTTCAAGAATTTATATAGTAATGAACGACACATATTTGGAAGATTTGGGTGATTGTTAATTTCACTAAAAATTTTATTTAAAGTGGGCATTTCATTCTTGAAAATAAGCTGTGTACTATCGATCGTACAGATGTTTTAACTCTTTCATCGTCTGTTGCAAGGATAGAAGGTCGACCGCTAATATTTTTAGGACATCTTACTGTTTCACTCTGCTTATATTCCTTAATTGTTCTGTAAATAGTTGAATTCCCAACGTCTAAAATTCATTATTTATTTTCATTACAGGATGACTTGTTCAAAGTTCGATCTTTAACTGAGACTAAGGTTTACTGAGTGCTACGTATGGTCAGTGCTGTTTATTTAATAAAATCTGTTCTTTTTAGAACAAAATTAGTGTGTTTTATTTCAAAAATGTCACGTAAGAATTTAAATAATCGTTGTGAAGAGATGGTAATACTTTTGCAATAATTATGTGATCTATTTGATATAAAATGAACTCAGGATTTTTTTATACTTTGGCAACTATGTCAACTTCGAATGGCAAATGACGAATGATGGCAAAAAAAGACAAGGTATGGTATAAGTTTTCTAGATAATGCCATGCGTACAGGAGGGGATAGTCCAGAATGCTTAGATTTTTTTTAATATATCTTTAACTTGGTTTCTTATTTTTTTCCGTATATTTGTTTGTCCCTTTAATATGTATGTTCAATAAACTACATTTTCGAAGATTATTTTTACGTTCTATTATCGCGCACATTTATCCGACGTATGCGCACCATTAGCCGAATAGGTCGGGTAATTGTGCGCTTTACAGTAATGGGAAATTGCGCCTCTAACTGTTCTACTGTTCAACCATTCATTGAATGCAGTGCCTACCAATATACCTAGACCTTTGAAGTATATCTTCTAAAAAGTTGGAAACTGAAATGTTTTTTTGCAATATCTTGAATTAGCCTTAGGTGCGCAACAATAGTGACACAACAACTCCCCCCTTAGTGAACTTGTTAATCATAATGAAGAGGAAATCGGTAAACAAAGAGAGTATTGATGATATCCGGATACCAAATTAGTAGGGGTGTATTATACGAGCAACTAAGAAGACGGGCCCCATAAAATACACGTAAAATACACTATTAAAAATGTAAAATTATCCAATTTTAAAGAAATTATATTAAATATTAAAAATTATGTAAATTAGCGGTATAAAGAAAAGTGGTCAGCTATTACTAATAAAACAAAAAACGATGCATATCATTTTTTGCTTTAATCATTTGCAATATTTTTTGTTTAATCAATCATCTTCTATGCGTAGAATATCATTTATTTGATCATCTTTCTCAGTAACTATCAGTAAGGGTCCGATGTATTAAAATAAAGCATTTTTTAATTGATGCATTTTTTTAATATACTAAAAATATTTAAAATATTATTTGTATAAATACAAAAATAACAAAGATTATTTTTATAGTAGCTTTAATTTTGAAGACGGCCCTGTCCTGGTAAAGTTTAACTTGCCATCTATTGAACACATACCCAACTTTTATAATGGCTTACAGCTTCCTAGAATAAACGGTAAATATAATAATTTAGACAAACATTTTTTTTCATATTTTTATTTAAATTGGAATAACTAAAAATATATTTATAAGTAAATTGTTATTTCCATTAGAGACGTAATTTTATTGTATCATTATTTTACGATAAAAAATTTGTATTTCAATTGTATGGTTTAATTAAAAATTAAAAAAAATTTAAAAACTGATTGCTTAATGGATAAAAATATTATATTTCATACACTTTGTATTAATCAGTTTAGATTTGTTTATTAACAAGTTTTTATTGGTAAATATTTCGTTGACTAGAAAAATAGCATTTCTATCAGTATTTACCATCTGATTCAATCTGATGACAGATGTCAAAACTGTCATACTAATAAATTATTTTTTATCTTTATTGTTTCTTATATAGTGGCCACACATTTCTTTGGATATACTGTTCTTGCTGAATTTGATTTACATCATTATTATAAATGACATCAAAGCTAACGAGCAACCCTAAATTTGTTTAACATCTGTCAACCGTCAAAATGCGATAAATGGAGATGTCTCGTTTACTAATTGTGTTAATTTCGCACATTTTCAACTCAAAAGTTATGGATTAGCTACTGAAATATGGTAATACGTTAGTTATTATTTGAAAAATATAGTTATCCTGTAATAGGCAAATATCTATCTACGTCTTAACATTTTTTATGATGTAAGTATACTTCTTAAGTTGATGTAACTTATGAATTTATTTTTTAGGGTGCAAATATTTCCCAATTGGAACGAGATATTGGTTCAGAACAGTTTCCTTGCAACGAGCATTACTTTGGTTTAGTTAATGTGAGTAATTTGATCGTTATATTTGTAAAAATTCTTGGTTCAGTTTCATAATATTTACTGCCGACTTTTAGCTTTTGAACATCTCTGCAAATTAGTTTACAAAGTGGCTGAATGGTTAGGTGTAATAATTAATCGAATAAACATAATTTCATGGATTATCCAGTAACGTACAAAAAATTTGTCATACATTACTCATATTTTTTGTTTCAGTTTGGAAATACATGCTACAGCAATTCGGTGCTTCAGGCTTTGTACTTTTGTAAGCCATTTAGGGATAAGGTTTTAGAATATAAAGCTAAAAACAAAAGGACTAAAGAGACATTACTTACATGCCTTGCAGACCTATTTCACAGTATAGCCACCCAAAAAAAGAAAGTAGGCTCTATAGCACCAAAAAAATTTATAGCAAGGCTACGAAAAGAAAAAGGTATGTACTTGTAAATTTATTATGTTACTTTTGATGAAAGCTCTTAAATTTGCTACTAAAATGTAGATGTTTTGCATTATATTGAAGTGAAGGAGTTATGGCAACTGAAGAGGACTAGGTTATATTTTGTATCATATTTAATTTCCATTCATTTGAATGAGAATTAAATTAAAATTGTATCTATTTGTTGTTACAAACATTTCTTACAAAGTATGTTTGTAATAAACCCATATCAAATAAACAGAAGGCTAAAATTTGTTTGTAAACTGTAATTAATATGATAAATAATATAAAGTATAATGGGCAGTTAGATTATATAGGTCCAGAGTGAAAGTCATTCCAATTTTAATTCCATAAAAATTTAAAGAAAGTTTAGGTCAAAAAAATCAAAATAGGAAACATCAGATCCAGACATAAGTATATTCCAACAGAAGTGTTACAGCTGCTTGAAATTTGTTTATTTTAAAGAGATTTTTTAATCATTTGTGCAAAGAAAAAGGTAGCTCAAGAGAAGAGGAAGATGGAAGCATTGTATTATATTGTATAAAAGCTCATTTTATATATTTAATGTAAATGACTGTTTCCCAAATGGCTTTTAATACTCATGAAGCACAAGAAAAAATTATGGACTAAATGTGTAGATGAAAATATAGTTGCCTTATAGATATTAGTAAGCATAATACCATCAAAATTGATAGCAATAAAGTGACAGAACCTAGTGGGGCCAGTTCAATTAAATTAAAGGTCAGATAATGTAGTGAAGATTCAGTACAGGATAAAGTACTGTATTGATTTAACTGTACTTCTAGTCTCCTTTTAACCATAGCTATTAATAAGGTCAAAACCAGTGAGAGTAACTAACTTTGAAAAGATTTAACAATTTTTGTTGTTACACACCTCCTTAATATGTTGAAAACTACATATATTTGTCAAATTAAAAGAAATATGCCAAAACTATTAAAATGATCAAAAGTGAAAGACATTTGAGGATGAATGCATGAGGAAAACATGTCATAGAATGATTCAATTGGTTTATAAACACCAGAAACTGTGTGACTGAGTGTGTAATTTGCTTTTGAAGAATATCTTTGTTTGACTGTTGCATGAAATATAAAGTGATCTTGGAATTTTTCTGTTTCAAAAATTATCTTCATGCACTGAGGAAAATCAGCTCAACATTTAAGTGAGCAGTGATGGATTTCTTAATCATGATAATGTGTCACTATTGGTATATAACCTTGTACAACAATTCTTGGTAGAATAGAAAGGTGACACACCTCTACCAATCTCTCTGACATAGCACCCTGTGACTTCATCTTTAGAAAATTGAAAATAGGATTCTGGTGTCTTTTTTGCCTTTGCATTACTATTGTGGTATTTGTTTTCTTGACATTTATTTTCGATTTCATCTTTTCTGTTACTTATACCTACTTATTATATATTAGTTCTTACAGTATTATTAATTATGATTTATAACTGGGAATAAGCCACAATTAAAGATAAAAATACGTTTATTGACGTTTCAATTTCCAATTCGGAAATCGTTCTCAAAATTTCCGAATTGGAAATTGAAACGTCAATAAACGTATTTTTATCTTTAATTGTGGCTTATTCCCAGTTATAAATCATAATTAATTTACAATGCCACAAGAAAATAGCTTCAGAACAATATACAGTATTATTATATTACATTATTAAGTATTTGCTGTTATTACTGGATGATCTAGATTTATATAATATTCCCTCTAATCTTCTGTTCTACAATTTCCAATTACTCCTACTGTAGTTTGTAGATGCCTTGATCTTCTTTTTACATTGTTTATTATTCTATCATCTCTAATATAAATCATACTGGTCTGAAAATAACATCTTCTTAATTCCATGGATTGTTCTTCTTGTTTATTTCAGTGATTGGGCATTTCTTCACTGTTTTAAATCAAACTTACTTCCTTTCTACTTTCCTTTGGAACATAAATGCCAATAATTTGGCAATTTTGTTTATTTGTGCGCACTTTCCCGAATCTCTATTTACCTTTCTTTCCAGAGGTTTGTATATTTCCCATTATTGACCATAATATTTTTTTTTAGAGACACAGAATATTAAACACAAGAAGCTGTGAATACCCTTCTTTCCTTTCTAAAAGTATGTCTGTCTTTGTTCAAATGACTTGTTTTGGTCTAATTGGACCCAATAGTAGTTTTAAATAGCTACTGCATATAATTGATATTTCATTAAAAAAATAAATTTTTATAGTACCATGTAAGTTTCAATTAAACCAGGAATTATTACAAAATAGATGTCTAGGGGCTTATAAACTAGGGGGGCTTTTTCTTCTTTACATTCTATCTCTGTTTCAAAGTTTAGCTATGATCATTGCTATTTGGATTTTAGATATTATTATGGAAAAGTTGTTTGGGACTACAACCAAACTACTCCCTTAAATCTTACAGTCAAATCCCATTTCTCCCTATACTCCATTTTCTTACAATTTTTTCCTGAAGTATGTGTCATAGAAATTGTTATTTGCTTCCTCAGATAACATTTCCAAAATATTGTAGGTTTCAACTCTTGATGGTCAATAGTGATTCTTTTTCTGTTCTCATTCTTCTGAGTACCTAAGCTTTTATTGTTTGATCAGTCCAGGGTATTTTCAATAATCTTCTGTAAATGCATAGTTCAACTATTTCTATTTTGTTGCAGCAGTACTTATTCATGGTCCATGTCTCAACACTATATAGATGGATAAAATAAATATAACATTTTCTAGACATATTTTTAGTTGTAAGCTTTAGTTCTTATTGTGATTTTCTTCGTGTAATCATTGTTTTTGTGCATATATGTCAATCATCATCATCAAAGATGTTACAACTCTTCATTAGTCTTTGCCACATTTACTATTGCCTTAAATGTCTATTGGTCCTGTGCCACTATTTCCCATCACTACCATTTTCTCAATATCCTCATTGACTGCATCTTTCCTTTGTTTTCTAGGCTGTCCTACAGACCTTCTCCCTTCTGGTCTTTCCTAAAACACATTGTTTATAAAGGGATTGTTGTTATTGCATTTCACATGTCCTGTCTTAGTCCTGCATATTATGTTCCCAGATAGTTATGTTTTTCTTTGATACAATTATAAATTTAGTTTTCTTTTTGTTGAGTGTTAGGTTAGCTTATTACTTCTATTTTCAATTTCTAATGTAACTGAGCCTCCACTGTTATTCTGAGTGCATGTAAAGCTGTCGCTCCCGGCTACGAAAGATGTCGTTAAGTCATGTTAGGGACGTTTGCACAACCTGAAAATGCTAAGCCTAAACCAGAAAGTTACATAAACTTTTTTGAACAAAAGTTGTGTTTCTTTGTAAATATGAGTTAAGACAGTGTACCCGCAGATTGAAACCCTAACCAGTTCATTGCAGTTTCCAAAGCATCCTGAGCATCCGCATTTGAAAGACAAGCATCTCCTTGGTCAATCATTTTTTCGTCATTATCATCTCCCGCGTTATTGGCTTTGGTTACAATGTCCTTGTCCTCAAGTTATTGATTCACGATTTAATCATAATTCAGATGTTGATAACCGAGGTTAATAGTATCGCCATTTTCAAATCCCTTATTTGCATAAATGTTTATCACATCATTCAAATCCTCGCAATGTTTGGAATAGGCTTCATTTTTGGTAGCAGTGTTGTTTTTCTTTGTAGTTTCATTGCTGGTTTCTTCTTATCGTTCATCTGAAGTTAGAGAAGTCCGCCATAATTTTTTTCCACACATGTTTCGAGTTGTTTTCATTAAGAGCCTCCCATGCATCAGATATAAGTCTTTCAGATGTAGGTTTTTTACAAATTGCACTATACTTTCTTCATCACTTTCATCAAAATATATGCAAAAAAAAATAAAATATTTTGTGCCAACCATGATCTGGATTTTTGATGTCCGAATTATGGATGCTATACTGTATATGTTCTAAATCTACTATACTAGAGTAAAATTTAACTTGTGTTTATTTTTATTTGCAGAGGAATTTGACAATTACATGCAGCAAGATGCACATGAGTTTTTAAATTTTCTCATCAACCATATTAGTGAAATTATATTAGGTAAGTTGTTAATTAAGTCATTAAACTAACGTTTTTACTGTTGCAATATGAGCATACTAATTAGAATATATACATTTTAACACAAGTTAATTTGATTACTAAGGAAAGTGCACATATTTCACTCTTATCAAATTAAAATTTATCGCTATGAAAGAAAAATTGTTTTGAATATTTTCATAAAGTTAGTTTTTATGTTTAGAAGGATATCTATTATTTATTTAATTTAAAATGTTATTATGGAATAGTCCTGAATAATACATCCGCCATCGCACTAATGCAGGTGCCATTTTTGTGCTGTAATATACTTGTTCAATATGCTTTATTAATTTTTATAAATTATTATTAGCAGACATTAAAACATTTGAATTGAATGTAATAAAGTGACACTTATAGACAGTTATAGAGACACCTATAAGATGAGGATTATGACAAGAATGTGTATTTGTATGTGACATTTTTTTAAATTATTGGTCACAATGGCACTCTAATGTCATCTATCACTATTTTGTCACCTGTTACAACTAGTTAAGAAGCCTTCATCCATTTATTTCTTCCCTCCAAATTTCACTTTTATAAGTATAGCCGTTCAAATGATAAGAGGGGGAGGGGACTTTTGGCTAGGACCTTCTTATTGTAGTTCCTTCTCCTATCGGAGGTTGGCTATCATCACAGCTATCAGTAACTTATTGGCGGCTGCTCTGAACAGATCTACTTGATTTTACCTTGCATTGTGAGCCTTAATATCTCATATTTTGCACCTCTGGTAATGTGACCTAAATATTTCAGCTTTCTTGTTTTAATGTGCTTTATGACTTCGCAAACCTTTTGTAACCTTCTTAACAATTCTGCATTTATAATTCGTTAAGTCCATGGTATTTTCAAAACTCTTCTATAACACCACATCTCAAATGATTCCAACTTCTTTATATTATCCACTATTAGTATCCAGCTTTCCATTCCATACAGCAAAGTCGAGAACATGTAGCATCTTAAGGCTCTTATCCTCAGCTCCAGAGGAAGGTCTCGATTAACAAACATTGTTTTCATTTTTATAAATGCTTGTCTTACAATTTCAATGCGTGTCCTTATTTCTCTACCTTGGTCATTGTTTTCATTTACCCAGGTTCGAAGATATTTGTAGCTATTCACACTTTCTACTTGTTTTCCCCGATATCTCATCATCATCATCTTGGTGCTACAGCCCTTAGAGGGCCTCGACCTTCTCAAGCTTTCTACGCCATTCTGTTCTGTCCCTTGCTTGCATTTTCCAGTTGCCGACTCCGATCTTCTCCGCATCTTGTGTTACCCCATCCATCCACCTCAGCTTTGGTCTACCCCGTCTTCTCATTCCCACGGGTTGCGCTGTTAGAATCTTTTTTATCATGTTCGATTCAGGGGCTACACGGGCTACATGTCCTGCCCACTGCAGGCGGTTTCACTTAATTCTAGTGGTAATGTCTTTACCACCAAACGTATACTTGTAGATATGCTGCAGTTCAAAGTTATATCTACGCCCCCATATTCCGTTCTCACAGACTGCTCCGAATATCTTGCGTAGCACCTTTGTTTCAAAAATCGATAGAGCGGATTCATCTGTTTTAGTTAGCGTCCATGTCTCTGATCCATATGTGAGAACTGGGACTACCAGTGTTCTATACAGCCTTATACGAGTTTTTTAAGACAGACGTTTGTTAACTAAGTACTTTGATAGACCGTGACAACACCTGTTTGCAATTATTATTCGCCATTTTATTTCCTCAGATATGTTATTATTGGGGTTAACCCATGTTCCTAGATATATGAACTCTTTGACTGCTTCGAAGTTTTGCTCATTGATGATTAAATTTGCGTCAACATTTCCAGCTCTTGTGGTTGTGTTAGTCGCCATGAATATCGAACCCCCCCCCCCCCCCCCACCTTCGACATTGTACCGACATTGTCGATTGTAACCTTTGCTTTTTATTCCAGTACAGATTGAAATAATCCATATAACAGTTTTACGAGTTTCTGATGTACTCTATCAAAAGCCTTTTGATGATCTATAAAGCAGACATAGAGATCCTGGTTTATATCTAGTCGTCTTTGCGCGATAACGTTAAAAGTGAACAGAGCCTCTCTCGTTTCTAGTCTTCCTCTGAATCCAAACGGGGTATCATCTATATCTTTTTGTATTATTTTGTATAGTCTTCCATCTATTGTTTTGAGAAATTTCTTAAGTGTGTGGCTTATTAAGGAAATTGTTCTGTACTTTTATTCTACTTTGTAGTTCTTGCTATTTTGGCTCATTTGTCCTTTTGGCTTTTCTCCTCTCTTTTATTAATGCTAGAATTTCTGAAATGGTCCACTTCTGTCTTTTATCTTATTTTTTTCATGCTTTAAATTTTCTTCTCCAGCCTTTGGTAATGCCTTCTGAATGTTGCTCTACTTTTAATTGACATCTTCTGATGTTAAGATTTCTTCTCCTACTTCTGTTAGATTTAAGTGGACTTGTTGGACCACTTTTTGATGTATTTCTCTCTTTTTCTTAATTTTGTATAGTCAAACGTTGGTTTGTTTTTAGGTATTATAGGGTAGTACCTAGGACAGTACAAATACAAGGATCTGTTTAGAAAATATATTTTTTTACATAAACTGAATTTATTTTAATAGCTAATCGTAACGTTCAAGAATAAAATTCATAAAATTAAATGAATTGAAAAAGAGTACAGAATGAGATCAATATCAATCAATAAAATGTACGATTTATCCCACATCAAAGATTCTCCTTTTAACATGGCGCTTATCCTATAATGTAAATGGATTACTTTCAAGCATCAAAAGCAGTGCGGTTTTACATTGAAACATTGTTCCGCCAATTTAGCATACTATAATGGTCATTTGTTAATTCTTTAAATATCATCTACCTCATTAAAAAATGGTTTTCCCAACGTTCTACTTCCTTTCATTTGAATATTTCCGAAATATTTTAAAAACTGTATAAATTAGTATCTCCAGTTAAATTACGTTAGCCAATGTAAATTTAAATTATACTTTTCCTCGTAAACATTTATATACGTATTCTTTATGTATATAACTGATTAAAATATGGGTTAGCGAAATAAAAAAATGCGCTGATAAGAAACGCTTATGTAATTTTAATGAGGAAACACGTTCTAATCTTCTTGTATCATCTTGAATCAACATAATACTGAAAATATGTTTGTTATAATTGGCTTCGATAATATTTACGTCATTTTCTGTAGTAAAATAATATTATCATTAAATAGTTGAACTACTGACATAATTTTCTTAAAATATTTTAATGATGTATCAAAATTGGATAAAGCAATAAAAATAATGAGAATGCACGATAGTCCTTTTCTCCATATTTCGGAGATTTCTCTTTACTTATTCCATTTCATTTGTTTCTTTTGGTTTATTTATTTATTCACGGAAAAAATCCATTTTAACAGTATGATAAAAATTTATCAATAAGTTCATAGGGGCGTTCAAGTATGAAGCAACGCAATTTGGGAACAGGGGTCTTCATCGACGAAGAGAAATAGAAAATACGTAATGGAAAAAACCAAAATATAATGACGGGAACCTATACAACGTGGAATACAGCATTTCTTTTTAATATTTGTGGTTTACGATCCCTGCGATAGGGTAAAACTGTCTATTTATGACCGGCTCGTGATATCCCGTTGTTTGTTGGTAAATCGACCCGGTTCAAAAGAATTGAAAGCTGATGCACCGCATGTCCAACACAGGTTGCGGCTACTAGAGGTATGATCAGTGTCTTGGTAATTTTACTATGGAGTGATCTAAAGAAGTTGTGTTGGAGTTTTTATAATTGTATAAATTACCCAACTTAATAAAAATTGTACCGCCAACACTGATGGCGTACAACATACTTACCCTTCAATGCTCACCATCGGAATGGTCCGATTACATTTTCGGGGTAGGTCGAGTGCATTTATCAAAAAGCAAATATTAACTAATTTCGCAGTAACGTGGGATGCCAACCGTTGTCTCTTTTCTGATCGTAAAATCGATTTTTTTTTTCTTTTTGCCGGCGTAAACTAGCCTAGAGCGCCATTCCACGAGCTGTCTGATTTCGGCTTAAAATGTTAGCGTTGCTAAGTTTTAGGAGTTTTGGAGCGGGAAGGGGATTCGAACAACGCGTTACGCAAGATAGTCTTTTTGCTTAAATAAAAAAACTATGGAATTAGAATCTCCCAAGTTGGCAATCCTTTTCGTTTGCTGAAGTGTGTTTTTATAGCAATTCCGAAGAAACAGCGGGCAAAAAGATGCGACAAAGACAGGTTAATTCATCTGATGAGTACACATTGAAATTTTTTATTCGCATTATTCATGTAAGAAAAAAAAAAGTCATTGCGAAAGAGACCTAGATGAAACTCAGTGTGGATTTAGAAATGCACTGGGTACCCGTGAGGCACTTTTTGGATTAAATATACTTCTCCAAAAATTCCGCTGCCAACGTAAAGATATTTATATGACTTTCATCGATTATGAAAAGGCTTTCGGTAGGAACACTTTTGAACATATTAAGAACCAAAGCCATTGATGGTTGTTTTTGTAAAACGTATTGAAATTACTGGTTTAATAATTAGAATACTTAATAACAAAAAATGAAATGTATGATTGTGAATAAAATTAGTAATTGATTGAAAATCAGAGAAATACCTGACGTAACTCATTAAATGTTATCAATTCGTGAAAAAAGTCATTTACCTTTTGTATATGGTGTATGGTACATAGCATGGCTCTGTGGCACCACGCGAGAAGAAATTATCGTGAACGCGAAACTGGAGCTCTGACCGTCTCTAATACTTGTGAGCTTCTCGTGCCTGGCTCTCGACTTAGGGATGAAGAGCAACGTTATTACATAGATGGCCGAGGGATATTTTCGGACGGAAGACGGTAATAAACTAGATTATAACGATGTAACTCGAGCCTTTTGTGTACAATAGGATATGCATCCCATTATTGAGAAATACAATAAATTAGATAAGATCTCAAAAAGTTGGTATTTTGAAAATGTTTTATTTCAAGTGTTCGGGATTAAAATGAATGATTTATCAAACACGTGTGGTTATTTAGGCAAGTGGCTTTCTCACGACAAACAATATGAATTATACAGTTTTACTGTCTGAATTTGAAGAAGATAAATTAGATATATAATAAGAATAAGTAATTAAAATATATAACTGAATGAGTAAGCAAACAATGGTAGATTGTGTCATACAAACTTATTGGAAACAGTCGTACTAGTCGATGGGGGATTAACCATCTAATGTTACCTTCTCTCCCCGTTATTATTTAATATGTACTCGGATACAATTTTCAAAGAGATTTTCCAAATGAATACTTTGGGATGAAAATCAATGGTGGACTGATTAATAATTTTAGATACGCTGACGACCTGTTATTTTATGGGATAGTCTCCAGGACATTTGAGAGTTGTTGCATTGCATAAACACAATGACGGGACTAAAAATGAATGTTTTTAAGACAAAATTTATTTAGTCACTAATCTCACCACAATGCTTCCCTACAGATAAGTCAACAAAACATTAAGAGAGTTACTCACGTTAAAGATCTGGGATGCTACATTACAAACCAAGTAGACCCAAGTAAAGAGATCAAGTGCAGAATTGGAGCAGCTCCCACAACGTTTCTAAAAATGAAATCATTCTCGCGTGGCCACATCTTATACCTAAAATTGCGCCAAAGAATGTATTTTTGACACTGGGCTTTTGACTATCTGGGAAATTTTTTTCGCCATATCCAATTGCTACTTCTGCATAATATTGTTTGAAGCACAAGTCCCTTTTCTTTTTATATTAATCCAGCTGATAGTAATTCTGAAATATTTTGCCTTTCTTCATGTGAAACATTATTGCCGCTCTTACTTCTACAAGTTAATGAACAAAGATCTCTTAAAGATTTTAATTTTATTAAGAGACACGCTTGGTACTGCGTTTACTACTCTACGTAGTGTGTGATCGCGCGATCTGTCGTTACAGTCGGTTCAGTCATTCGTCTTTTATTTTATCATACCTCTGCGTGATAAGCTATGCTTCCAATATGTTTCTCTCCGCCATTGGTAATTTGATTCACAGTTTTATCTTACTTCAGTGGTTTTCGTGGAAATTGGCCAAAAAGGATGAATCAGGCAATACTATTGCTTCTATTGTTTTTTATTTCTAATAATATTTCCTTGTTTTAGCTGAAAGACAACAGAATTCAACTACAAATAATGTGAAATCAAAAGCATCAGGCGAAAATGGGACAGCCCATAGTCCGCCTGAGCCTACGTGGGTACATGAAATTTTCCAGGTAAGTTTTTTAAATACGTTTTTAGATCAAATATACAAGATCTATCTTCAAAGAATCTGACATTCTATCATAACTTCGCAATGTTTTCTGCATTTTCAGTCTTGCAAACACTAGTATCACGGAGTTGTGTTACTCAACTCATTAACTGCGTTTTAAATATTTTTTAGGGTATACTGACCAGTGAAACGAGGTGTTTAAATTGCGAGAACGTTAGCAGTAAAGACGAAGATTTTTTCGACCTTCAAGTAGACATCGAACAGAATACGAGCATAACGCACTGTCTAAGGTGTTTTAGTAACACCGAAACGTTATGTAGCGACAACAAATTCAAATGTGATAACTGCAGCAGTTACCAAGAGGCGCAGAAGTGTATGCGCGTCAAAAAATTACCTATGATACTAGCGTTACACCTCAAAAGGTTTAAATACATGGAGCAGTACAATAGGCATATTAAAGTTTCTCACAGAGTGGTCTTTCCTTTAGAACTTAGGTTATTTAATACGGTAAGTTTTATTTACTAAAGCTTTGTTTTACAAGTTTTTAAAAGGCTGTTCTTGAGATTACACAAATCTTCTTAAAATTTAAACAAATGTAAAAATTTTCAGATTTGTTCCTTATGCTTTATAGACAGTGTAACAAAAGTCTGTTGTGAAATGATTATATGGATATATTGGTAAAATATTTTGGCCGGTACAATCTTGTCTCCTTGCCAAGTGAATGAGTTCTGTTGAATTGAGCAACCATTTTCTAAGATTAATTTTTCATAATTAAATATAATCACTAGTATAATAATAAATAATACAAAATAAAATAATATAAAACAAAAATATGATCAAAAAAAGGTGATACCCAACATGTTTGTGGGAAATCTAGAGTTCTCGTATTGCTAGCCATGTGCTATAAGCTATTCAGCAGAATATTAATAAAAAAAATGGTCCGAATGTTAAAAAACAATATTGGAGGAATAGTCACAATTTAATTTGGGAATAGTAAATAAATAACGGATCAAACTTTTGCACTAAAAGAAGTTCAAACAACCGAGAGTACAAGAAACGTTTATCTTATTTTTATTGACAACATATAGCAATATAAATTGAAAAAAACGTAGCATACTTTCGCATTATGACACGTTTAAATAACATGGAATGTGCTGAAATTCGAGACTTCTCAGTGAGATCGAAAACTCCATTATCAGCCCCAAAAATCCAGGAAACTCCGCGGAAAAGACTTCTTAGGACTACCCCGACGAGCACTTAAGGGCACTTCAATCACATATTCGGATTCTACAGGCAGAGTGAACAAGCTCCGTTTGGCAAGGACATTGGCTTAATTATTCGACTTTACACCTGAATGTCCCGGTCCCATGTCAAATTAACCTTGTTGATCAACGCAACGGAAGCTTGTGCATTCCAAGTTGGAGGTAACTCTGGGTGCTTTAAGGGCGTTTAGAGCTGCCTGTCATTGGTTTTCCAAGACAGGCTCATTCAACCATCTCCTGAGCACAGAGTAAGCTTCCTAAGATATTAGTATGTAAGACTGATGCATAGATTCCGAAATCTGGGCTCTATCCTACGTTCTATTCTGCGCCTGTATTCTCTCAGTCGTCCATCTTGGACCCATCTGTCAACCAGTCAACAGTGTTGGTTCTTCATTACACACAGAAAAATAATCGAGCAGAATAGTGAATTAAAGATGAGGGACCATGCTATCTTGCACTATGAAAAGCGACTAGATAGTCCTCGGCGACATACCCCAAATGTCACAATGACCAGTCCGACCGGTTCCTCCTAGCCATTGCAAAGAACAGTGGGCCGGGGACGCCCATCATTGGCTGCCAGCTCTACAATAAGATGTATAAATGGTAGACCCAACAAAACCTCAATAGCCGCTGTGGAGGTGGAACTCATAGCTCTTGAATTGTTAATACCCGCCAATTTCCAGTTCTTCACCTTGGTGTTTCTTTCACGACAGTTTAGAATCCAGAATCCTCGATATTTAACTGAGTTAGGAGTTGTCTCCCATAGAAGACAAGCTCCCTAGTAGAAGTTTCTCCGGATAAAGAAGACCACAAAGTTTTTCAGTAATTAAGGCCTATAGGGCTATGGGCCTTTCTTCAGGAAAACACAGAATTGAACTCTTTATTGTTCTCTGTCATTCTACCAATTTTTTCTACGATATTACGTTTTTTACGTTGGTACAACACTTTTTAGTGAAGTGTTGACACAGCTGAGAAAGATTTGTGCCACTAAATCAACTATGTTTTGGTAAAGTCTAGTGAATTTTAAAGCAATGGCTAGTCGTAAAGCTATTTTAGATAACGGTGTGTCACAAGGTGCCGAAAAGAAAATTATTCAGAAAGGCCATTGAATAGAAAATGTGGCAAAATTTAAGAGACAGAGTGGACAGGAGTATGACTGTGTCAAAATTACGGGAAAAACTGTACAGAGTAAGGTATTTTTTGTTGTCCGTAAGTGTTGTGTAGATAAAAATATCTTCGCAAGATCAAAAACGTTTATTTGACTCTTTTTATGATAATAATTCAAAAAATAACAAGAAACTCTTCTAGCAGGTTATGTGACATTAGGGGAGCCTCCAGAATGGTATAGAAAGATAGAAAATCATAAAATTAGCAGACAGTATCAACGGAAATACAAGCTTAAAACTTCTGGCTGTGATGTGTCCGTGTGCCGTTCCTTTTTTTGTTGACTTATATCAAGTAGGAGTAAAGCGTGTAAGAATATTACAGAAAAAAATTGTTGAGAAAACTACACTTGATAAAAAACGTGGTAAACACGGACACCAAAGAAAAATTTCAGATGATGTTTATTCTATGGCTTTAGAACATTTAAAATCTATTCCACATAAACCAAGTCATTACACACATGGAACAAGATGCAGATTGTACGTCGACAACCCAGACCTAACGATTAAGAACATTTTTTAGCAGTTTCAAAAGCTGTTTAAAGACACTACTGGGAATAATCTAACCATGAAATACAAGACCTATTTTAAGTTTTTTAGAGAAACTAATTTTACGTTCAAAAAACCGAAGACTGGCACATGTGATTATTGTCGTGAGTGTGAAATCAAACTAGAAAAGAACCGGAATGACGAATGCCGTGTTGATTACAATCTCATAAAAAGTGAGTCGAGGCATATTCCAAGCTAAAAAATGATTACTCGACAGCAACAGATGATAATGGCATTCTTGTCCTGGAATTTGATTACGCACAAAATCTACCATTGCCAAAGCTCAGCATAACAAAACAGTTCTATGACAGACTTTTATGGATGTATGTATTCAATATTCTTCTTCTTCTGGTTCCTATTCGTTTCGGATGTTGGAAATCATATTGGCAATCATAACCTTGCTCGCTGCGGCTCGAAACAGCTCCGTTGAGGTTTTCTTAAACCATGTTCTTAAATTCCGCAGCCATGATATTCTCCTTCTACCGGGTCCTCGCTTACCTTTGACTTTACCTTGCAATATAGACTGTAGCAGGGAGTAACGGTGCTGATTTCTCATAACGTGTCCCAGATATTGCAATTTTATGCGTTTGATCGTAAACACAATCTCTGGTTCCTTCTTCATTTTTCCTAGAACTTCCTTGTTCGTGATCCTTGCTGTCCATGATATTCTCAGCATTCTTCTATAAAGCCACATCTCAAATGCTTCAAGTTTTTTATAGTGGCGTCTGTAAGCGTCCATGCCTCCGCCCCGGACAAAAACACAGAGAAAACATAGCATCTCAAATGTCTCATTTTTGTATCAAGGGATATGTTGTGACTTTTGAATATGGCGCTCATTTTTGTTAAAGACCGTTTCTTGCCTTTCCTATGCGGCACTTTATTTCCTGTAAATTGCTCCACTGTTCGTTAATAATAGTTCCCAGGTAACAATACTGTTTTACTCGCTCTATCTGCGTCCCATTAATATATAGATGAGCCCCGTTTATATTCTCCTTGCTGATAATCATTTGTTTCGTTTTGTGGGTATTAATGTTTAGTCCGTACTGTTGACTGTACTCGTTTATTCTGTCCATTAGCCTCTGAAGTCCTTCTAAACTATCTGCTATCACCATGGTGTCGTCGGCATATCTAACATTGTTTACTCTTTCACCATTTAGGAGGATGCCTTCGTCTATTCCGTAAAGAGCATTCAATATACACGTGCATAATGATGGATCATATTATGTATATTCCTTCATAGAATTTCAATGTAAAAAAGGGAGCAAGTAGTGTTGCTTAATTCGTCTTTGACTGGATTCACATAAAGTAGCAGATTATCCTAATACCAAGCATATTGTTCTTCCATGAGATGCAGCTGGAGGCCAAAGTGAAAATCAGACTTTGTTACGGTTTTGTTCTTTGATATGAAAACTATACAGACTTACAGAGTCAAAGTGACACATATTTATCCTGTTAGTGGACAATCCTTTAGTCAGTGTTATAAGACAGGCATTAAAAAGAGTTCAAGTTGTCGAGGAACCAAAGTCTACCTATAAGAAAATCGTACATTGCAGACAAACTCCTTCCCCTTTCCGCCTCAAACATGACTCCTCTATAATATATGACTGAGATGCAGCATTTCTTCCTTAGTTTTTGAAGAAGCCTGTGAATAAGCCGGAAATAAAATGATTTATTTCCGTATATCCGAGCTTCCTCCTTCATTTTACTTCAAAAATGTAAGTCAAAAACAGCTGTTGTCGTTGCTGTATGTGGTAACCATGTTTTATAAAAAAATATTTTGTTGTGAATTATATATATGTATAAGGGTTAGACCCAAGATCTGTGGCCTAGAGCCCGATCTTGTTTTTTAATATGTCGTTTGTCCACAATTTTCCTTCTATGAGTATTTATTGCCTAATTGACGAAAGCTCTGATGATGACATTTATTATGTCGAAAGTATACTTAGCTTAATTAATAAATTATTTTACACACTATCAATTTTATTGAAAACATACCAAACCTGCTTACCAGTTAGACCTATTTAGAAGTGTGTACAAGTCTTACAGTCTTTTTCAATTCAATACTATAATATATAACTGTAGTACACTATACAACAGTAAAAAGTTATAGGCCTTTCTGCAGAAGAAGTTTTAATCTGCCAAATGTGTTCTCTAGAAGAAGGGCTTACGTAAACTTGTTTTAATACTCTTCATTTGAAAAGAGAAAAAAAAACGTATTTTATAAAGGTGTTCTCTATCATTTTATCAATTCTTAAAACTAAAACACTTAAACAATGCAAGTGTTGGTTCGCCTTAGGCATGTTTCAATGCAATTTCATTTAAAAATTTGTGTTCTTGTCTGAAAGAATAATTTTTACATTTTTATCAAAACAGCAATGATTTATATAATTTTTTACATTATTTATTTCAGTCGGATGATGCACTGAATCCAGATAGACTTTATGATCTTGTAGCTGTTGTGATACACTGTGGTAGCGGACCTAATAGAGGACATTATATAAGCATTGTCAAAAGCCACGGATTTTGGCTTCTTTTTGACGATGATCAAGTCGATGTAAGTAGTCATATAATTATTTTTATAAGTGGATTGTGACTCTCCTTCCTTTTTTTGAGAACAAATAATATATTTGTAATAACAAGCCTTATAAGTAAGGGATTTCGCAGCCATGATTAAGGTTTTTTAGTGATTCTTATTCATATTTTCTGTATTCTTTTGTTTTTTAGAAAATTGACGCTTCTACAATAGAAGACTTCTACGGCCTGACTGCAGACACCCAAAAATCGTCTGAAACCGGCTACATATTGTTCTACCAAAGCCGAGAAAGCTTATGAACTCTAGTGCAACTCGCCTTATCGGAAGGGGAGGGCGTTTCCTCTCTCTCGAAGTACAAATAGCCCCCTCCCTCTCTTTCACAGAGTAACCCAGTTCAGGCCAGTTCCCAGAGTATATTTTTTTTACTAACAATGCAAAATTGTTAATTCACCAAAGCGACTATATGTATCTGTGCCGATGGAGATTGAGTAAAAGAATGTGAGCTTTTATTTAAAAATTGGTAAAGAGGAGACTCAAAATTACTTTACATTTTAGAAATCAATAAGCAGGATGAATAAAAAATGGTTTAGTAGATTACTTACACAGTATTTACTATCTGTATATTGTATCCTCTTTTTATGAAACCACTTTTAACATTTACAATTAACGTTTTATATTTTTCTATATAACTATTTTTCTTCTATGTAAAGTCCTGTTTCAAAAGATTTAGTTACATCACTATTTACACAGATTTTTAAACTACAATTCCCATTAACGGTAACTTAAAATGATTAGTGTTCGTTATAGGTGCTGATCACAAGCTATAGTAGAGGAGTGTATCCGAATTTCGGATATTCTTGTTAACTCAGCCGATGTTATAGAACGTGTATAATTTTTTCAACAACTTTTTTACTCAAAAATTCTTATTATGCTTCAATTTATTATCAGAACAATTTATTTGGATCTAAAAATGAACTCATTGCATTTATATGTCAATAATGTGACTCTGCTAGGAGAGTGGAGAATTTCACAGACGTTTGACAGCTGTGGTGCTACTATCTATGGGAGAGTAGTTGTATTACCTCTTTTGACATGCGTATGTTTCAAATTACAGATAGTTTTCTAAATACTTTATATCAAGATTGTCCGAAATGTGGCTACTTTCCTCTATTACGATATATGAGAATTTAGTTTTGACAAATCTGTTGTTGCGTTCAAATTTTCTGCAGAGATCATAAATGAACTAAAGACCCCATCCTATTTAATAGCAAGTTGTAAACTTCTTGTGGGATCAAATTTTCTATTATACTCAGAGTAACCCCTCAACCAAAACTTAAACGTACTATTACCTGTTTATCGCAACCTTTATGAAAATTAAGAGATTTCTTCGAAAGTGACGAAGCACTGCCATTGTTTACTCTCTGCCCATTTGTACAGTTAACGGCGGTATAATTAATAGTTTTTGCATTTTGCGGACCTCTAGGAAATGACCTATTATCGTTATGCCTATAACGTGTCAGTCAAGAATTTTTAGAATATCGAAACGTTGTCGACGAATCAGTGGAATTGAGATCGCCATAGTTTTATTTAACGTGTATCACCAAAAGTTTTAATATTCTTATAAAGGTGAGATTTTTTTATGTTTCGGTCTAAAAAGTGGTTAAAAATTTAATTAACTACAGTTTGCCACTATAAAACAAATATATATAATAACTATATTTTTTGACTTGATACATGTTTTAATTTCTATAAAAAAATTTGGCTTAGCGGCAAAAGTCTAGCTGCCTGGAGAATTATAAAAATATTAGTTTTACCTTTTTTTCAAGGATTTTTTCATGATTTGTTTCGGCAACCGTGAAAATTACAGATAATTTAAAAATAATAAAATGTTTGGAAATTACAATAGAAGGTGTCATGAAAATATAAAACTGCATACAAAATCATGTCAGATCTATTTAAATTGTATAAATACCAATATTTTTGCGTTAAACCATGAAAAAATAAAAAATTACAAATTACAAAAAATATCCCTCATATCTACGTACTAATTGAAATTTTTTGTACACGTACAATGTTGCCATATAAATAATTGCTTTTTACGGAGGGAAAATGTTCAATTTATATTTAAAATTATAATTTGAATAAAAAATTTTAAATCATAGTATATAACAGAAGATATTTATGTTACTACTTACGAAAAAGTGTGTTTTTTGTAAACCGGAAATTGAAGTGACGTGATACCTTTTCAATACTCTTGATATCTTAATGAGTAAAACAATATCTGAGAAAACCTAACCCTTCTTCTTGCAGTTCCTTCTCCTATCGGAGGTTGGCTATCATCACAGCTATCCATACCTTATTCGCGGCTGTTCTGAAAAGATCTACTGAACTGCAACTATACCACTCTCTTAGGTTTCTTAGCCACGAAATTCTTCGTCTTTCTATGGATCTTTACCCTTAATTTTACCTTGCATTATGAGCCTTAATATCTCATATTTCGCACCTCTGGTAATATGGCCTAAATATTCCAGCTTTATTGTTTTAATGTGCGTTATTACCTCGCAACCCTTTTGTATCCTTCTTAGCGCTTCTGCATTTGTAACTCGTTGGGTCCATGGTATTTTCAAAATTCTTCTGTAGCACCACATCTCAAAGGAATCCACCTTCTTTAGATTATCCACTTTAAGTGTCCAGCTTTCCATTCCATACAACAAAGTCGAGAACACGTAGCATCTTAAAGCTCTTATTCTCAGCTCCAGAGGAAGGTCCCAATTAACAAACATTGTTTTCATTTTTATAAATGCTTGTCTTGCAATTTCAATGCGTGTTCTTATTTTTCTACCTTGGTCAATGTTTTCATTTAACCAGGTTCCCAGATATTTGTAGTTATTCACTTTTTCTACTAGATATTTTTTCATTATCATCTTTGAGTATCCCATAGTGTACTCGCTTTTTGGTATTTGTTAGTTCTTTTATTTTTTATGCATATTAAAGCTGTCGTATTTTCTGTCATATGTTTCTATTTTGTAGTTCTTGACATTTTGGCTCATTTCTCCCTTTGACTTTTCTCCTCTCTTCCATTAATGCTAGAATTTCTGAATTCATCCACTTCTGTTGTTGATTTATCTTTTCAGGCTTTCAATTTTCTTCTGCAGCCTTTAGTAATGCCTTCTGAATATTGCTCCACTTTTCATTGACATCTTCTGATGCTAAGATTTCTTCTCCTACTTCTGTTAGATTTGAGTTGACTTGTTGGATCACTTTTGATGTATTTGTCTTTTTCTTGTACCGAACCCAATGTAATCTAAATTAATATAAATAAGTTGTAACTGACGAAAAACAAAATATTTAAGTTAGTAAGAATTACTAATGTTGAAAGAAATAATATTTTTTAAAAACAATGCAACATTTGTTGAAAGGGGACATCACAATCAACATGGACGACATATTTGAAAATTGGTGACAAAAAAAAATTTTAACTGAGAATTATAGAAAAAATATGCGTCGAAATATTATAATAGCGAATGTTTCAACTGAAAACCTCAATTATTGGGCCAGTAAGGGCGTACCTCCAGTTTTGTTATTGAACACTTCCGATAGGTCAGTAACAGAAATATCTTCCTCTGATTGATTGGTTTGAACTAACTTTCTACTAGAAGAACTACTATTGTACCTTAAGAGTAGATGAATATAATTTCTAAGAAGTATAAACAAATTTAAATAATTGGCGGTAACTTACAATAAAAATAATTTGTGTAATTATATTTAATTTAAAATTGAATTTTAAACTTTTGGTGATACGCTGTTAAATCTATAACCTATTCTAAACACAGCTAAAGTTTCGGTATTGTACAAATTTACCCCCAAAAATTGAGCGGTAAAAAATTGTATATAGATGGCAGAAAAGATCGGGAAGTTATTTATTATGTTTTTATTATATTTATTTTTTTAAAAAAGAAGCCGTACTCCGTGTTGAATTTTAGAATTATTTGTAAAAGTTGCACACGAGCTAATATTAGGTGATGTATATTTTGTACATTTTTGTTGATAGCTAGTACGTACTACTAAAATATGATTTTGTGGGGAAAATATTTCAGGTTTTTTTAAATGGTTTTATTTTTAATCTTTAGCACTGCCTTCGTTTTATTTTCTATTTGAATATACAAAATAAGTCATTAAACAAAATATATATATTTAAAATGAGTATGAGTATAAATAGTTATCTTGGTTTTAAAACAATTTTATTATTATATTTTTTTATAGTTTTAAATTTTATTCTTATAAATGTAGTATTGAGCCTAATTAGCCGTAAGACCATTTTTCGAACTCGATTCATACACGAATTCAAATTCGAAGCCCCAGACCCGTTTTGAATTTTATATTGCGTGTAAAAAATGTGTGATTGAACAAAACCTTACAGATCGCCGTCTTGAACTATCTTAAAGATATTAAGAGTAGATTAGCTCTGAGGTTTCTGGCTCAAATTCAGTTATTTTTCTATAAGAAAATCTGAGGTCCATTCTTCACATCTTACGACCTTGTGGAACACCTCAGACACCTTTATATCATCTGTTCTCCTTTTATCCAATACCATATTCAAATTATCTCTTATATACTGCGCCATATGAAATCCCATTTGCAAATTTCTTATCTTGTCTTTCCATTCAGCTTCTCGATTAATTTTTTTTTTAATATTTTGCTCATATCCTAAATTATTATTCAAATTATATATCACATCATCTCCATTCTCTCCTATTCTTCGCCTTGGCTTTCCAGTTTCGTACTCCCAACATTCTCAAGTCTTCCTCCACCTGATCCTTAAATCGTGCTCTGGGTCTGCCTCTCCTTCTCACTCCATCTAATATTTAATTATAAATATCTTTGTTAATAGATAAGTTTTGGTGCCTCCATCTCATTCATTCTCTCTGTGACCTAACCACCACAGCCGGTTTATTTTGATGATCAAATTATATATATACACCGGTATATGCGGCCTTCCGAAAAGGATCTATGGAGGACTATCCGCAAGCCCTTATCTCTTGTGTACTGCTCCACTATAGACCGATCACACACCAGCATATTCTAGTCTAAGTTACAGATTCATATAGAATTTTAAACTACTTCGTCACTCTTTTTATTTTTCTGTACACCGGATCAGGATCCAAACCCACTACAGCATTTCGCTTTAGCGAAATAGTCCACTGCCTTCCTCGCTTGCTTATCTGGCCGGCTGATACAGTGCGTTAAGTTTTTGATTAGGTATTGCACACTATACGGAGCGCTAAAATCGGCAACGTTGCAAATGTTCGTTCTCCGACCCGAAAATCTACACCGACAGAAAATCATTTATTTTAGTTTAGTAACTCACAACAACGTTAGGGATGTACTTCTTTGTCGTCCGATCTCATGTTTCATTACGTAAAGCCGATTTTAATAGTAGGAAATTCGATAAAAATGCACTGAACTAATCGGTGCATTGTTATCGATTTTTATTAATGTGAAAATTTTTTTGTGGTTGAATTAAAAATAAAAGCGTATTTCTTTAAAAAGATAAAATAAAAAATATACTCTTATTGAAAATTAAAATATTATTCCTAATAAAATAAAAAATAATTCTTTATGACCTACAGAAATGGTTCAAATAGTTGACCTTCTACGGCTGAACAGTACCCCAATCTGTCATAAAAACTTCTGCGAACAGATGAAAGAGTTTCTGCTGTAACAGAATTGGAGA